ACCACTGAACATAACTGGGGGGATAAGTAGGTCAACTTGTATACATGTTTAACCACCATTTAACTAAATTGACACTTATAAGGTCCTATTCCTATAAATCTACAGTGTAAACTATAAGTTAACCAATAGTCCCCTATGGGATTTTAGATTATCCTAGCTCTAATCAGAGGCGTACACAGGGTGCTTTTTCCCTCCCCTGAATCAGTGAAATCTATGGTTTCCAGGTTTTTTTGGTCCCAGTGCTTCCCCTAAATAAATATGTAAGCCCCCGGCCTTGAACAAATTCCTGGCTCTAATAAATTTGTTTCATGCATTTTTTCATTTTTTTCTCCTAATTTACAGCTGGTTTTCACATGCATATTATCTTTCCATTCTTAGCTTTTTCTTTCATTTCTCCCCCAACCCATTTTCAAATAAATCAAATATTTTCCTTTAGTCGAAATTATAAAAGAAATTAGCAAAACGTAAGTACAATAAATACATTTAAAAATACTTATGTACGATCTAGATTAGATACAGGGTAACCCACAAATTGATGAGACTGTTAAGACGAACGGAAACTTTTTTAATATGACGGTGAAATTAAGTTGTCTGCCTTAGATTTAGTAATTTAATGGCTAATTTAATGATTTGACAAAGAAACAAACATTAAAAATTCCGTACAGTGTATCAGTTTTCTCTAAAGTCTCAACCTTTTATAATAACCCTGTAGCTTAAAGCTGTTTTTACAAAGCCACCCTGTAATCGATCTTTTTAAGAAGGTTTCGAGATGGCAGTTGGTAGGATAGTGGTAAATTGAAGTGGTTGACAGATATACAATTTAAGTAATTTTCATTAAGAAAATTATGGAAACTTTAAAAAATCATTCAATCATTGAGACTTTATAAAAAAACAAACAACTAGAGCAGCTTGAAAAATAACAACAAAGTTTGGCAAAGAAAGTAGATGATAACAATTGGAGGAATTCTAGAACTAAAATGGAAAAAGCTTAAATAAAATTCTTTACAGAAAAGTCGTATATATGCTGTATCTGATTCTGAACTTCCTGGACTTCTAAAGTGAGCATATGTGCATTTCTTTTTTTCATCATGGCATAGAAATAATTCATAGTTAAATGTATTCATCCCCATGGATTTAAGTCAATCTTAAATCTTAATATTATTCTACCCCGGCAGAAATTGAACCAATGTTTCAAAGTTTCGTCCAAGGAGCATACAATTTATAGGGTGTCCTACGAAACATGACAGTAGCAAGACGACTTGAACGTCGTCTTTGATTTTTAATATATAATGTCAACTTAATTTAGAAGTAAAATTCTAGAGATAATAATCACAAAATACACCCTGGACATCCTGGTATTTCCAAGATGTGCTCGACTGCCTTTTTTATAATTTCAATATTACTCGAGATATGAAGAATTTCGTTCATATTTCGGCAATTTTTGGTATTATTTAACAAAATAACAAAATTTAAATCTGCACAAAATCCAGATAATATGGACCGCACAAAAAAGCAGACCACATTATGGAGATGCCAGGAACAGGAGAATTTTGTGGTTGACGACTTAATGTCACAAGGAAATTCCAAGATCAAAAACGACATTCAAGTCGTCATGCTACTGTCATGTTTCGTGGGACACCCTGTATACTCCTTGGTTTGTCTTATTTTTTGTAAATTAATTAAATAAAATTTTGTATTTGTAAAATATTTTAACTTTTAAAGTCTTCGACGCTATCATAGCTGAATTATTTGATTTAATCATCCATGTAATGGAAATGGTAGAGATTCTGAATCAGTATTTTGGAAGTGTATTTACACATGAAGAAACATCCAGTTTACCAGATTGTGCGAGCACAGAATCCAATGCCTTCATCCAAGATCTTGAATTTAATGAAGCTCTGATTAAATCTTACATTAAAAATCTGAAGAAATCTAACTCTAGTGGCCCTGATGGAATAACTGTTACATTACTACAGGAAGTTAGTAATTCTATATCTGTACCTCTAGCCTGCTTATTTAGAAAATCAATGCAAGAAGGGATAGTTCCCCAAGACTGGAAAGATGCAATTGTAGTTCCAATCTTTAAGAAAGGTGTAAAATCCAAACCCAGTAATTACAGGCCTGTGTCATTAACTTCTGTAGTGTGCAAACTTATGGAAAGAATCGTCAAGGATGTAATTCAAGATCACTTATTAAAAAACAATCTACTTCATAATAGTCAACATGGCTTTCTCCCACACAAATCATGCACTTCAAACCTTCTGGAATTCCTTGAAGTAATAACACAAGAGATTGACAAAGGTACTCCAGTAGATGTTCTTTATCTAGACTTCTCAAAAGCCTTCGACAAGGTTCCACACCAAAGATTATTGCTAAAAATTGAATCCTTAAATATCCAAGGTAACATCTTGAACTGGATTAAAGACTGGAACTTCTTTACCCAAAGAGTCATTGATGATTGGAACCAGTTACCCAGCACAATTAGAGAGTCTCAAAATATCAAGATATTTAAAAGAAATCTAGACCAATATTTATCTTCTTCTGAGATGAACTGATGAACTGAGAATATGACAGGATCTCCAGAAGAAGACTGTGTGGAAAAGATGTTGCTAAATGCCCCTAGCGGGGGCTACATCAACTACTCTCCAAGTATACAAGTAAGTAAGTATGTATATCTGCTTAATATGTTAAGGGGCCGAGCACTGCAGTTATGATTGCAGCCTTGCACTGGACCAAGTGCAGTGCTCGGGGCCCCGGCTAGCAATAACAGCTATGTCCAAGCAGCAGTGCTTGGCTCAGAAATTGTTGAAAGTCCTAACCTGTTCTCAAATATTTAATAATTCATCAAATATTTTTGGCGAAAAAAACTTAATATTTGCATAGGAGGTAAAATTTATAAAAGATTGAAAATAAGCTCAATTGACCAAATACATGAGTTCAAAATGATCCTAGTCCTTTTGAACGTTAAAGTTCAATCGATAATTAGTCATATTCAGGCCCGTAACCAGGATTTACCCATAGGCGGGATGCAAAGAGGGGTTTTGTAGGATGGGTCCAGAAAATGTTCATAATTTAGTTTTTAGCCCAAATTTTATAATATTGGATGACAGTAAATGTCATTTAATTTTGATATTAATACTCACGTTTACGGATTTTTAGTTTTCTGAGGAAAATTTAAATGTTAAAACTGCAATGCAATTAATGCAATTGCTCTGCCAAAGAATTGAATTTATTATACATACTGGAACATTTCTTAATCTTACCTCAGGACAAATATTTTTCTAAAAAGGTTTAATTTGGTTGGTCTGAGGGAACAGCTATATATAACAATTATTTCGTACGCTTAACTAAAAGTTCCTATAGTCCAAAACAGCTAATAATTTTTGAACAGTACTTTGTAGAGTATACTAATATCTAAATTTATCCAGTGAAGATTACTAACACCAGGCAACTTGTGCAAAACCGTCGGTGCACCCCCCTGGTTAACGGGCCTGGTCCTATTGTCGATACCTAAATTTAAAGTGTTTTGAACGTTGGTCGGATGATGGCGATTGATAAGTCGTCTTTGTAATAATAAAAAGAAAAAACCTATAGGATGGTAATAATTCAAAAAAAAAACTTTCAAAGCGAATAAATCTTAAAAATTGTCCAGAAAAAGATTTAAGAAAATATTATTCTTTTAAAAAAACAATAACAAAAAACGTAAAAGGCATCTCAAATTCAGTCTATGCAACATCTGCCGCGGAGTGTTCTCAATTTTGTAAGTAAATCTAAATTTTGATCACACGTGCTTAATCATCGCTGTTCCAAAGTAGGAATCTGAGGTGGCTGCGATTAAATTCGTTTAAATAAGAATCTCTGAGAATTTATTCCATTTTAACGAGTTTATTACTGCGAGTCTGCTATCTTTAAAGGATTTTGTATCGGACCAAATGTTTTGTTTTAGAATCTTAGTTGTCACGCTTTGGGTCTGTCCTAGTGAACGATTTTTGGAGGTGCTATGGAAACGCCTCAACACGGAAACGTCTCAACGCGGAAATGCCTCAAAAACCGGTTTTGAGGAATTTCCGTTTTTTTTTGGGAAATCCCTCAAAACTGGAAAATGTTGAGGGATTTCCGAATATTTTTGAGGCGTTTCCTAATATTTAAAGTTGAGGTGTTTCCTCTTTTTTTTTGAGGCGTTTCCGTTTTATAGGATGGGCTAGGGGGCCGAGCGCTGCGGCCACGGGTCAGGTTAAGAAACTTCTTGTCAGACCCATGTACAAAATTGATAGGAGGGGGGGGGTCCAAAAATCGTTGTCTAAGAATATACCCACGCTTTCATGAGACCGGTCCAATGGTTAATCCTAACTGATGTGTGTTTCTTATTTACTAAGAGACTGTCAGAGAGTTTTATTGTTAAATTTAAGCAACATATCCGTTTAATAACTCTGAAAGCACACTTATTTAGTCTATCTCATGGAGATGTATGGTAGTTTCCTAGTTTTAGAACCCCCCCCCCCCCCCTACATGGATTTGTACATTGATTTCATCAGGATATAATTGGTCAAATGGTCGTAGAGCCCGCCCCCCTAGCCTATCTTAGCCGCGGCGCTCGGCCACATAGCTGCAGCGCTCGGCCCAGAAATTGCGTCTACGTAACCCTTAAATAAGGAAAAATTAATCTCTTTCAAACTTTTTATTGAAACAATAAAGGTACAGATCTGAGTAAATTGTGTAATAATGATAAAAAACACACGAATATTCATTTAGGGTTAATATTCTCACACCCTCTATTTTGAAGGTTTAAAAATATTTTCTCCTGAATTACTTAATTTTGTTGTTTTTGTTATATTCCATAAATAAACAATTGAATAATTACTTACATACATCTAAGCGTTAATGACTACAGGCCCTAAATGTGACAAAACATTTATGCTATATGCATCTTGAGAAATCCTCACATTTACTTTTTTTGTTCCAGAAGCAATGAGTTTCAGAGGACGTGGCGGAGGTGGCGGTAGAGGATTCGGTGGTGGCGGCGGTGGACGCGGAGGCGGCTTCAGAGGTGGCAGAGGAGGACGAGGAGGGTTCGACCAGGGACCTCCTGAGAGAGTAGTTTCCCTCGGCAAACTATCCCACACATGTCAAGAAGATCTTGTTCTTAAATCTGGAATCGCCGATGTTCCGTATTTCAACGCCCCCATCTACTTGGAGAACAAACAACAAATCGGCAAAATTGACGAAATTTTCGGATCTATTCGTGAATATCATGTTTCTGTGAAACTCTCAGACAATATGAAAGCAAATTCTTTTGCTAAGGACTCGGAATTTTTCATCGATCCTGCTAAGTTACTTCCCCTCTCAAGATTCCTCCCCCAGCCTCCAGGTGCTAAGAGGATAGGCGGCGGACGAGGTGGAGGCCGAGGCGGAGGTCGTGGTGGCGGCCGTGGAGGTGCCGGAGGTTTCCGTGGTCGAGGCGGTGGCGCTGGTTTTGGAGGAGGACGTGGAGGCGGTGGATTTCGAGGCGCACGAGGAGGTGGCGGAGGCGGAGGGTTCCGAGGAGGAGCAAGGGGCAGGTTCTGAGATACATTGCATTCATTATTATATACGTTATAATTTTTTCAGATATGGAAGATTGAACTATGATTGAAAATGGGAGCAACGGGAGTAGTATTTCCGTGAACCGAAAGTGTATAGAAGAGAGTATTGATCTAAACCAACCCTATCTCTCAGTTACGGAACGATATTATACTCCGTATTACAAGATAGACCAGGATAGATCAAGAAAGAATGATCTTTGTCTCCTGATTCATTCCAACCGAATTTCCTTGATAACTTTAGCTCCGTCTCACCCGGTCCTGTCGTCGACTGAGAAAATCAAGGTGAACTGTGAGGTGTCTGGAAAGTTGGATAGGAAGCAGAATAAGGCGGTTGGGAAGAGCAAGAAGGGAGGACAAAATCTAGAACCTACTTCCATTGTGTGCTTTTTAGAGGTCAGTATACTGAACCCTTTTTTTCCTATTCTCAAAAGTCAAAAGCTTAGATAAATTCAAATATCCCCCCCCCCTTACTTTCAGGGAGGTAGGAGTATGCTAATATAATATAGAAAATTAAAAGATTTTTAATATTAGGTTGGAGAGACAAGGTATCCTATAGAGGCTGTATCTCCTGGAAAGCTAGTTTGCATGAACAAGTGTGTCCTGGAGAACCCTGATTTTGCTCGTCTGAAACCTCAAGCCGAGGGACATATTGCTGTTCTTCTCCCTTATCTAGGAAGGATTCAGGTACTGATGTTCTTAAACTTGACTAATTGATGTTCAAACTTTAAGGTTACTCAAAACAATACCCTTCCTTTCCTCCTTCACTACTTCAGTGATACGATTTTTTAAAGCTCATTACCATTATTGAAGCACACTGGGACTGAAAGATGGAGCCCTAAAATGTATCCAGAAGAAATTCTGTGTCTAATTCTTTGGAATGTATAATCTACTAGCTGTCAAATAACAGAGATTGCAGGAACGAATGCACGGAATTTTTATTCCTTTTATTGTTCAGCGCCAATTAACTATGTGGTTTTTTTCACAACTAAATTCAGATGGTTCTATTTAAAAGTTCAAGTTCTAGGAATCCTTTTTTTATTAACCTAGAATATTGAATATATTGTCATTCTCAGTGTATAGGTCTCATTAAAAGATCTTCTTAGTTTTTCTGGTGTATCAAAGATGACGCCATTGTTTCTGTATTTAGGAATGTAAGGATGGCTTGATGGATGAGAAGAGTTATCAAGATTTTATCCAAAAAGAAAATAAAGCTCAAGAATGAAACCCTATCTCCCGCTTCTCTCTGAGGTAAAAGCGTTCTATTGACATAATATGCATTTGGATGAAATAATGGGTTCTATTGAAAAGCGGATTTGTATCTTATGTTTTTTTTAATCGTTGCCTTTTATATTTCCGGGGAATCTTGAAAAAAGGTGAAACTTGCTTCAGGGTGTATATTTTTCCGTTTGCCCTATCCCCCCTGGGGGGAGGGATATGAGCCTTCATTGGGTTTGGGGGGATAAAATGAAGAAAAAAAAGGAAAAAGGGGGAAGGAAGAGAAAAGGGGAAGAGGGAAAGGAAAATGGAAAGAGGGGAAGGGAAGGGAAGAGAAATGGGGAAGAGGGAAAGGTATATTGAAAATCATTAAATTTTTTAAAATTTTGAAAATCCACGAAATTTTTGTGGAGTTATGTTGTCTAAATGACAAAATGTTTTATATTTAACCTGTTCTAGGATATGTTCGATCAATCTGTGGCCTGGTTGTGGGAGTACGGATTGAAGTACAACTACGTGAACCTGGTCTACATGATCATAAATCGGTTTCCAAATATAGGGCTTAAAGTTGGGTTAAAGGAACGAGAATGTTTGACGGTTAAATTTCTCCTGTTACTGCTGAAACAACACGGCTGTACTGCAGAGATGTCTTCACCCGAGTTTCTCACCTCGTTTGAATCTGCTGTAGTTGCATTTATCAGTTCACATCCAAGGTATTTAATCAATTTAGCTCAATTCTCAAACTTACAGAATTTTTTTTGTTCAGTTTTGTTTGTAAGGAATTATTTACATAATTCTATTTGACCCTCTAGAATTGCATGCCAGATGCACACCGTATAACTTTAACCTTCGTCTGAGAAAGGATGACTGAGATATTCTTTTGTTTGCTGAAAATTGAAGTGCTTTTATGTCTTATCTTTGGAAGTATTTTGTATGAGAAGTCGCAGTTACATGATAATTATGAAATATCTGGCCGCGATGATCAGACTAAGGTTAATAGAGTACCATTGTGAATCGAAATAGCTAGCTTCTCTTTTCCGGTTTTTAAGATTCTATCTGATTAGGAGAAAGAACAAAAATATAAAAATATAGAAATGAAGTCTTCTCTGTACAATTTGTCTTTTAGTACAATTATGAGGAGATAATGAGGGATGAAATGAAGTAGAAAGATTGTATTTTAATATTATCTGTTCAGTACAAATATGAAGAGATAATGAGGGATGAAATGAGTTGAATACAGTCTAGAGTGTATTTTAATATTATCTGTTTAGTACAAATATGAGGAGATAAAGATGGATGAAATGAAGTTGAATACAGTTTTAGAGTGTATTTTGATACTATCTCTTAAGTACAGATATGAGGAGATAAAGATGGATGAAATGGAGTTGAATACAGTCTAGAGTGTATTTTAATATTCTCTGTTTAGTACAATTATGAGGAGATAAAGAGGGATGAAATGAAGTTGAATACAGTTTTAGAGTGTATTTTAATATCATCTCTTAAGTATAGATATGAGGAGATAAAGATGGATGAAATGAAGTTGAATACAACCTAGAGTTTATTTTAATATTATCTGTTTAGTACAAATATAAGGAGATAAAGAGGGATGAAATGAAGTTGAATACAGTCTAGAGTGTATTTTAATATTATCTGTTTAGTATACATGAGGAGATTGAGTTGGATGACATGATAAAGTTAAATACAAGTCTGAAATTTCTTCACGTCCGCTCTATTCTTATCTCCTCAAAATACAATGCCAGGTAAAATGGGACCAGGTTTCAAGGGTACCGTTGTAAATCGGGCATTCTCATCTTCGCATTGAGGGTCACTTGATAATACACAAACAGTAAAAAGGGCACCATGGTGTGTTGGACTTTGCCCTTTTTTGATGGAGGTTCTTCAAAAACTTATTTTTCTTATTAACTATCTAAACTTTATTACTTCAGTGATGTAGCAATGCTGATGGATAAACATTTTCCTGATATATCTCAACTTGATGACACGGATCCATGGATACAGAACTTTAAAAGAACGTTTCATCTCAAGGTGGGGCTTTATCCTGGGGTACTGATCTGCATATTAAATTACTGGGGGCGGGGGGGGGGGTGTCTCAGAAAAAACTCCCCAAATGTGCGACATATTTTTAGGAAGCATTAGGGTAAAACACGACCTCAAATACGAAATTTTACATTTTAAAAATATATCCCAAAATGGGCCGGGCCAGCCATTTTAATGTTTTTCCCGTCACTATTGGCTTGACCTGTTTTTCGACCTGAAACCAATTTATTATTTTTTCTCATTCTGTAACAAAAAAAAATATCTTTACCCTAATCAAATCAATAATCTCAGTTTCCAGCATAATTTGCAGAATATTGCGAAACCTTGAATTTTCAATCCTGCATCAGTCGAATAACCATTTAATTTTAGGAAATTGATGAAGAAACTATGAAGACGACAAATCTTTCATATAGTATAGCAAAGAAACACTTTAAATTCAAAATATCTAATATCGCAGAAGAAAGAAGAAAGTCGGTAAGTTGAAGATATATTGTTTACAGTGTAACCTAGAGTGAGGCTCTCAGAGTTATGACCATAAAAGTTCAAAGAGAACATCGAAACACAGCACTTGTGGTGCGCGTACCACTGTGGTGCGTGCACTACAAACCAACTTTACTTCCTATGATTGTTAATAACTTCTCCTATTAAAGCTACCTGCTTAAAAACATCAGAAATGATATGTCGTCTTTTTATTTCATTTTATGTACCACTGAACATAACTTAAAAAATGTTAACCGTAATTTTTTATCTGACGTTTTATTAGAAGCCCTGAAACATTTCTTTTTTACTTCTTCTATAAAAGCATTTAAGGTTCACATAATCCAGTCTGGACAAACACCAGGCTCGAATATATTTAGAAGACGACATTCTTTAAGTCCATTGAAGCCAAGAGGATACATATTTGTACAATTAAGATACATTAGTACCCCTTGCAATACAAATTTGTGTCATTTTTTAACGTAAATGTTTTGTTTACTATTACCATCATTATAGTTGTACTAAGTACATTTAACATGCAATTAGTTTCTTGTTATTCTTTGTGATTATAGAAATACTTGTCGTATCTTCTATTTAATTGAGAGCATGTTCTCTTCGTGTAAATGTAAAACAAAACAAAAAAGTTCGCGGATTTTAACAAAAATTTCGTGGATTTTCAAAAAAAAAATTAATGTCATATCTATATATGAATTTGGCTTGTCTGTCTGTTTGGGTGTCTGTTTGTTTGTTTGTATCCAATAAACGTCAAAACGGCTGAACCGATCGGGCCCAAATTTGTTGTGGGACATCACGTGACCCCAGGGAAGGTTTATGAATGATTGAAATTTTAAATATTTGTCTCCATCAAAATTCGATCTTCATTAAATTTTTTAAAATTTTGAAAATCCACGAAATTTTTGTGAAAATCCGCGAATTATTTTTGTTTTGTTTTACGATGTACACAAAGAAAACATGTTCACAATTAATTTAGAAGATGCGCGCCCTCTAAGGCTAGTTTCTTATATTCTCTCAGCCTAGTGTTTGTTCTGTCTGGATGATGTGGGTTTCTTGGTGCTAAAACTGTTCTGGAAATCGTCAAAAATGCCTCAAAATTAGATTTGGAATAAAACATATATTTATCCTTGTTCAGGATAAATCCGAATCCGCCTTAAAGGTTTGGGAGAAAGTGGAATCTACAGTCTGGAGAATCTTGAAGTTTATGGAGAGAAGATCAGCACGTTCTGCCCTGGAGGGGATAGAACCTGGGATATCTCCGTGGTTCGATTTCCTTCTCTCTATTATTGGAGACAGGACGGAACCTGAGCTTGTAAAAGCTTTTAAAAATCTTCTAAATCTTAAAGTTGAAAGTGAATTTTTCCTCTCTGGTTTTTACAGAGAGGGGGAGGCCTGACTCTGCACATCCAACAGACCCAGTTTTTATTTATTATTACTTTAATTATGGAATTTCGAAATGGTTTAAAGGGACTGTAAGCATAATTTTAAGTGACCTTCCATTTATAGAGTGGCATGTCAGATTTAAAACGATACCCTTTAAACTTTTGTTTGATTAGTGGTTTCGTATATATTCTTATTCATATAGCGGGAAAGTGTCAAGAAACCTTGGGAGTGCACACTGTACAGTGAATATACAATACATTGTACACTATGTTACCTCGAGTCTCCCGTCACTCAATCTTGAACTATACTAATGAGGGTATCTTCCTCATCATTTCCGGACAAAGGTTTTTAGATAAATTACGCATACAGTCCCTTTAAGTAAGGGGAAATAGTAAAAAGAATTAAATTATACTTTGCATTGAATTTTGGATGGTTAATCATGAACCATGGAATCATTTTCTACACCTCATGTAATTTAATTTTGTACCTGATAGACGTGTATCTCTCTGGAGAGCTTATTTTGGATTGATTTCAGTTAGAAAATGGGAGCCCCAAAGAAGTCCAAGAAGTCTAATGAGTCCATCAACGCTCGCCTGGCTCTTGTCATGAAGTCAGGTAGAGAATTAGTGTTCGGGATTGTTGATTATCATCAAAGAAGGACTACAATTCATAAAACTTTAATATTTTATCAGCTGATGATGGTTTTAAATTAATTATATCTCGACTATTTTCTTGCTTTTTAACTTTCTTAGGACTCGATTAAGACGATTTGTTTGTCTGTTGGACTTCAAGATTTTTAATGTAAGATCTTTAAATGCTTTTTTTCCGTAGAAAGAAAGTTGAAAGATCAAGGTTCACAATATCTTAAGTTTGATTGTATTGCGGGATTTCTTACTTGAAGTTTTCTATTAAACCTGAGCCCGCGATTTAAAAGTTTCGGCTCGAGCCGTAATTCCTTAAACCCGACTTTAAGACCCAATCTTCGACCCAACTCTAACGACAGCTTGTGTCACGTGATTGACAGCTGCGAGATCTTAGGCTCGACTTAAGGAGTTAGGCTCAATGAAAATAAAACCGACCTTGGTTGGTTTTAGTGAAGAATAAGGCTCAATATGTTGGGTCTTATTCTCATCAAAACCCGGAATGCACCAATTCCAACTATGAAAATCCGCCAACTACAACATTAAACCGGTTTTATGAACTAAACTCTGTTGAAAATTAGATGCAACTGAAATCCGAAAGCCCGAGCCGTAAATAAGGCTCAACGACAGCTTAGATCCGAGTCGTATTTTCTTGAATTTTTTAAATCGCCGGCTCTGAGCCTGCGATTTAAAAGCTTCGGCTCGAAAGCCGTAAATAAGGCTCAACAACAGCTTAGACCTGAGTCGTATTTTCTTGATTTTTTTAAATCGCCGGCTCTGAGCCTGTGATTTAAAAGCTTCGGCTCGAGTCTTAATTCCTTAAACGCAGCTTTAAGACCCAATCTTAGACCCAACTCTGACGACAGCTTGTGTCACGTGATTGACAGCTGCGAGATCTTAGGCTCGACTTAAGGAGTTAAGCCCAATGAAAATAAAACCGACCTTGGTTGGTTTTAGTGAAGAATAAGGCTCAATATTGGGTCTTATTCTCATCAAAACCCGGAAAACACCAATTCCAACTATGAAAATCCGCCAAATACTACATTAAACCGGTTTTATAAACTAAATTCTGTTGAAAAATAGAGACAACTTAAATTCGCAAGCCCGAGCCGTAAATAAGGCTCAACAACAGCTTAGACCCGAGTCGTATTTTCTTGAATTTTTTAAATCGCCGGCTCTGTTTTTAGGAAAGTATGTGTTGGGATACAAGCAGACCTTGAAGACCCTGAGGAACGGAAAGAGTAAGCTTGTGATTATCGCTAGCAACACTCCTCCCCTCCGTAAGTCTGAGATTGAGTACTACGCTATGCTGGCCAAGACCGGAGTTCATCATTATGTCGGAGATAACAATGAACTTGGAACCGCTTGCGGTAAATACTTCAGGTAAAAATATCTTCAAATTTATTTGAGGTTAGAATTTTTCTATAGTATCGTTAATCTTGAATGTCTGATTTCGTTATGTGATATGGGCACTTTCAAATTGGAGAATCATGCTCGATACAGTCATAAACCCGGAATTAATTTATAATTAGTCAGACGACTTGACAATCTAATTTTACAAATATTATTGATGAAACGATAATAACAAAATACCCCTATTCCTGCCAATTCTAAAATGTGGTCTTCCTTTATTGTGCGTTTATTTTTTGCAGAGATACATATGTAAAGTTGTCTGATTAACTGTCAATTAATTCCGGGTCTTTCTGGTTATGACTGTACCTCAATTAAAGTTATCACTGCCTGACTACAACGGTGTATAGGAAGTGGAATTAAATGAGGGGAGGAGGATTGTAATATTATGAATAGATATTAAATAGAGCAATTTTTTCAGAACAGTTAAAGAAGTAGAAATGGGAGAGAGAGCGTAAGGTTAAGAAAGAAAAAGAATTATATGGAGAAGGAATAGACATAGAAAATGGGAGAGTAGAGAGGAGTGTAGGATAATGACTAACTTTCTTTTTGTTTTAGAGTGTGCACACTGTCCATCACAGACCCTGGAGATTCTGATATCATCCGAACCATGCCAGGAGCACAGGCCGGGGAAGCTTAAATCCATCTCTTTGCTCCGCTGGATCTAGAACTCAACCGTTCTTATCCAATTTAGTAAATTTGTCTGAAACTATGATATATTTAAGATCTCTTAACATTATGATCTATTTCAGGGAAAATGGAAATCTTTAACCAAGCAAGTTTACTACTGTTGCGGTATTTTGCGACTTCAAGAGAAGGTATTAACTACGCAATTATTTCTTGTATGATGTAAAGAAATTTTCGAACTGAGTAACATTTTCTGAAAATCATTGCAAATTGCAAACCCACATTACAATCGAGAATTAGTATAGTAATTTCAAGATTATTAATATTGTTGTATATTATTGATTGACATAACAAGTTTGATTATTATATTATTAATAATTTACAGGTTGTTTTTCGGACGGGTAAAGAAACCTGTTTCCGAGACGACATGCTGACATGTAGCCAACAAACTGGACAACGACCTGCTTTAAAATGCGGTCAGCTGGTCAGAGAGAAGATGTCCACTGTCGAAGGTTTGTAAAATCAACTTAATCAATAATTTTTTTTTATGAAATTGAGACTTAATATTTTTTAGACAGGAATTGAGTTCACAGCTGATCTGAAGGGATGAAGGACTGGTCAGACCTCCCTGAATGACGGATTGAATGCACTGTTCTGAAAATAAGATTGAGTACAAAGCTCCAAATAAAGGATTAAGAACTCCGCTCCAGATGAAGGATTGAGAACCCAGCTCAAAATGAAGGATTGAGAACCCCGCTCCAAATGAAGGATTGAGATCCCCGCTCCAAATGAAGGATTGAGAACCCCGCTCCATATGAAGGATTGAGAACCCCGCTCCATATGAAGGTTTGAGAACCCCGCTCCATATGAAACATTGAGAACCATGTTCCATATGAATGATGTATAACCTCGCTCAGAATGAAGGATTTGAGAACCCTTCTCAGAATGAAGTACAGGCTCCGAATGAAGGAGCAAGCACAGTGCTCTGAAGAAAGGACCGAGTACTTAGCTTTGAATGAAAAATTAGAGTGCATAGTTCTGAACAAAGGATCGAGTACACAGCTCTGAATTGAGGACTCAAACGCTGCACTAAAAGAATGATCCATTACACACCGCTCTGAATGAAGGATCCGAGTACAAAGCTCCAAATGAAGGATCGAGTACACAGCTCTGAATAAAGAAATGATTCTTAGGTTAAGATTGTTGGATTTATTAGGGTTTAATAAATAATGTAAGAGACTAAATATTGTGTATTTGGAACATTTTTTACTAGACGAAATTTCTTATGTTTCAATTTCTTCTTAAACTTAATTTTTTAAAAATTTTTTGTAACGTTTAATAACTAATGAATCCTATTTGTACACTTGGGTTTTTAACCACCAAAACTTAAGGATGATCATTTTTAGGTAATTTCTTCAAAGTTTAGTTATAAAAGAGGTTATTTCTAATCATTTCAATGAAACGTAATTTGCCAGCTACTTAATTCAAACTAAGAACTGGGAGTGAATGTATAGTAGTATCCCGTCTACGGACCTATGATGAAGAATACTTCTTAGGTCGATCTATCCATTTAATATGGTAGTGTACTATACTTTTCATAAGTAATGTACAAATTATTTCAATTTTGTAGTGAGTGTAAAAGTTGTAATTTCATTTTATCGAAATGCATTATAATACAATGGTCAATTGTCATGGTGCTGGTTACTAGAGAAATAAAAATTTTAATTTTTCATTTTATTACAACTTTCTAAACTTGTCGGTTCCGTGGATTTAGAAATTTTTTTTATCAATCTGAACATTTTGCAATGTTGGATATACGCCCAGGGGCGCAACTAGGACTTTTGCTAGGGGGGGGCAATATATTATTTTGTTAGGGTTTGGGGGGGGTTAAGGGGGGGTTTCCCCCCCTTTTTCGAAAATTTTTCAAAAACAAAAGTGCTTTTGTAAGGGTTTGAAGTCGAAAAAAAGGAAATTTTGAGTTGTTGCATGCAGATTTGGCTGTGTTCAATTCCAATCGATTTTTTGTTCTTGTGTTTTTACAAAATTTATACTTCCAACAGCTGTAAAATGAATGATATGAGTCAATTCATTGAATATGTGTGCGAATCGCAAAAGAGTATTTTTTAAGTACCTGGTTTGATTACAGATTAAATTGCAAGAAATAATCATTTATAGTTTCTGGAAAAAAAACATAAAAATACATAGGTAAATAATAATTTCAATCATCTACATTGAAAAAGGACAGATAATGCTACCTTTTCTCTTGAAGTTATTGAATTAATGATTGATCTAACCAACATTCATAATCTAAATTCATTTTCGATTTTACAGAACTTCTGTCAAAGAAGATAAATGTTGTTAGTTATCAAATATGATAATCAGTTAGAAATTTGCCAGGTTCAGAATTTTCTCTAGATTTGGAACTGAGTTTTTGCCACAAACTCAAATATTCTAATCCCTAAATCTTTGCACCGAGGGGTGTAAACATTTGATATTTCAAACTTGGAATATTTTACCATAAGAATTCAAAGTTTGATATCTACGAGTACTCTATAAACTCAACACCAATAAAATACAGTTCAGAACTTTTTTTTACATTAAATGTTTACAATAGCCTTTAGCCTTGAGAATTGAGAAAGATAGAAATATTCTTTTTAAAACTAACTATAGTATAATAAAATTTCTACAATAACTCTATTGGTTTTCCTATTCCTGTGATACTGATTTTCGCCATTCTTTCTTTCTTTTCATTCTGCAGGGGGGGGCGCGCCCCCCCCCCCCTCAGGGGCTAGGGGAGGGCGCGCGCCCGGCCGCCCCCCCCCCCTAGTTGCGCCTCTGTATACGCCAGCTATCAATTTTGTATTAATTGTGAGTTAGGTTAGGTTAAGACTATTTCTGGGCCGAGCGCTGCGGCTAGGATATGCGAGGGACCGAGCGCCGCGGCATCATGTTCATGGCAGCTGTAAAACAACGTGCTAGTAGGTCGGATGTGTAGTAAAGCGGATTTTGCGTAGGTCGTAAAATACACCATCCTAATAATTTAATGATATCGGTATGATGCGTAAAGGATTATGCAGCACCTGATCACCATTAAGCACGTTGGAGAGTGATTATTGTTGGAAAGTTTCGCCCAGTTCGGCAAACCATGCCGCGCATCAATTTTCTAACCTAACACTAAACTTTTCTTGTGAAAATTTGACTAAAATTAATAATTATAATTTAAAGAATTTTATTTAAGGCGCCTGTCTAAAGAGCCCAAAGAAATAAACGTCCATCCATCTAAGAATATAATTAAAACAATAATTTCTGTGATCATATCATATTTTGGCCCAGTTAGACCTGGGTAAGAAGAAGCGAGTCATGGATTCAGTGACAGAATGGTTTTTTTGTCGGTCTCTCGGATTTATGTTCTAAAAGTATGATTTGTCTGACTGCCCACCTGTTTTGTTAATTTTCTTGAACATGCTTCCTGGACCCGTCCTTACCTTCTCTATCAATTGTACGTGTTTCTTATCATTTGTAGCGCATCAGCCATGTTTGACATGTGGTCGCAGCGCCCGGCCACTTAAGCTGTCACAGCTACGGGCTTGGCCATGATATTGCTATATCGATCTTATCAGAATCTGTGACTAAGTCTAAAATTGCAATATATAAGCAGAAGGCTCAATCTTGAATAAAGATCTTTGCCCCCCCCCCTCACCCTGTCAAAAAATGTACATAAAATAAAAGAATAAGTAGTATTATTCCAGAATTAAGTAAAGTTAAGTCAATTTCTGTCAAATTCACACTTAAACCATTTTTCATGAAGGGGGGGGGGGCAACAATCCTTTTCCAGGAAAATACCCAGGCAGAATATGATTTAGTAATTTTTTAAGAATCTTAAAACCTCAGCCTTATATTCTAGACTGCAAATCTATAGCAGGGTATGTTTTATGCAGGTATTTAATTTCAGATATGAAAAATTAATTTTATGATCTCTGTCTCGTCATGAGTCCATCGAGCGATGTAGAGACTATACGGTGCTTGCTTTGTCGTGGAGTTGTTTGTTTCTCTGCTGAGGATGATTCAAGGTCAGGATTATAAATATTTTATACATGTTTATGCTTAAAGGGTGCTATGGAAACGCCTCAACACGGAAACGTCTCAACGCGGAAATGCCTCAAAAACCGGTTTTGAGGAATTTCCGTTTTTTTTGGGAAATCCCTCAAAACTGGAAAATGTTGAGAGATTTCCGAATATTTTTGAGGCGTTTCCTAATATTTAAAGTTGAGGTGTTTCCTCTGATTTTTGAGGCGTTTCCGTTTTTTTCTGAGGCGTTTCCTCTTTTTTTTGAGGCGTTTCCTATTTTTTTTTGAGGGGTTTCCGTTTTTTGAAAAAACTTTTAAAACTTTATTTTGTTAAGGCGTTTCCTCTTTTTATTGAGGCGTTTCCGTTTTTTTTATAAAATTTTTAAACTTTATTTGTTGAGGCATTTCCTCTTTTTCCGTTTGTTAAAAAAAACTTAGTTCCTTTCTTTGAAAATCTTTCTCCCTTTCCAAAAAAATTAATCTCCTCCTAGAAATTAAACACCATGAGGTTTCAAAGAAATAGGGATTGTAAAAAATGAGAAAAACAATTTATAGGGTTTTAAGGGTTTTAATAAAGGTACAATTTTGCACCAGGCGCCACAAATCACATATTTTTTACTCACCCTGTATATGCCCCAAGTATTCACTAATATTCTGATATTTTACCCTTCATTTTATGTTTCGCAAGATTCTGAAATAAATCTACTAATTTTACAGTATTTAACTTTTCAAAATCAGTATGTAATGCATATTTAAAGTAAAACAAAAATTGAAATAAGAATAAATAAAAAAGTTGTTATATACTAATTTATATAAATATGAAAATGGTTAAAGTGGTTAAAACTTGCTAGAAACATTTGAAATTTCCGAAAAAATTCAACGATTTTTTTTCTTCTCTTAATCAGAAATGCGTCATAGTACGAGAATAAAAAAATGTTGTACAATTTTTTTGAAAAATTAAAATGAAATTTCAATTTTTTTAAAAGTAAATTGTGGAAACTCCTGTAAACTGTTCGGGAAAATGTGCGGAAATGTCACAACTTTATAGTTTTAAAAGCCTTAACAGAAACGAAATTTTCTGATAAGTCTCCTCTATAATGAATTTAAGAAGTTATCTAAAAAGACAAACTCTTCCAAAAATTCTGGAAACCCGTTAGGAAAAAGAGAAATCGACTCTAATAATTGAAGCTTTTAATTTTTTTTTTAAAACAAAAACTCATCAAAATAAAAAGAGTTAAGACCTCAACTAAATGAAGTTTTCAAAAATACGGAAAAACCTCAAATATTTTGCGGAAACGTCTCAAAAAAAAAATAGAAAAAACCTCAATTAAATGAAGTTAATAAAAATACGGAAACCACTCAAAAATTTAAATGAAGTTTTTAAACATATGGAAATGCCTCAAAAATGTTACGGAAACACCTCATAAAAAAGAGGAAACGCCTCAACAAAATAAAGTTTAAAAGTTTTTCAAAAAGCGGAAACGCCTCAGGAAATCCCTCAAAAATATTGGGAAATTCCTCAAAAAAAATTGTCAGGTGAAAAGCGGAAACCCCTCAAAAATTTTAGGAAACGCCTCAAAATAAGGAGGAAACCCCTCAAAAACTGGGTTTTGAGGGATTTCCGTTTTTCTTGCAGAAATTGCGGAAACGTCTCAAAAAAACCGGTTTTTGAGGGGTTTCCGCTTTTTTTTGAGGCATTTCCGTGTTGAGACGTTTCCGTGTTGAGGCGTTTCCATAGCACCGCTTAAAGGCGTTTTCAGGAATTTATTAAGGGGGTGGGGGGTTTCATTTTTTATATTTCAACGGGTGGGCCAAGTACCCCCGTTGGGAGCTGTAAACCGTAGTTTTAACTGCACAAGGGTAAGGTCTTCGCCCCGATACTCCCTCCCTGAATACGTCTCTGGTTATGCTTATATTTTTTCCTGTGAATCTGCGGATTCGGTTTTAACTATCATCCAACTCCATTAAATCTAACCTACCGTGGGAATGATTATGTCTGTTTCCTCTTCTTACCTTACCCTATACATCTTGATTAAGAAGCACTCCGGCCAGTTAAAGATTTTGCCATTTATGCCTTTTTAAAATTTTTGTCTAAATTGAAGAATTTATAGAAATTTATTTATAGTTTTTACTTTTTCCAGGTACAAGGATCATCTGAGTATAGAGCACCGTGTCTACTACTACGTTTCATGGATCCTTGAGAAAACTGTAGAAGAGAACGCAAAGGTAATGTGGTAATTCGTAATATAAATAATAATTCCTGTAGAAATATGATAAATGAAAAATGTCTGAACTACAGTCATAAGACCCGGAACTAGTTTATTATTAATCAGAGGACTTAACAATTTAATTTTAAAAATATGATTAATCAAGCGATATTAACAACATAGCCCTAGTTCTCCCAAATCCAAAATGTGGTCTGCCTTTATTGTGCGTTTGAAATTTGCAGAGATACATATGTTAAGGTCGTCTGATAAACTGTCAATTAATTACGGGTCTTTCTGTTTTTGACTTTATAATAGATGTATAATTTTAATTTCATTTACTGGTTCATAAAGTTTATTTATATATTTATTCAGATATAGTTTGATAATCAGTAATAAGTATATTTTTATAATTTTGTTTAATATTAAAGGAAGATGGGCTATCAAGTTCTTCCCCTGTTCTTCCAAGTGTAACAATCACACCTGTAATCAAGAATAAACCAACCAACGGTATTCTCCCAACCCGACTCCATCCTGTCAAACTAGAGTTAGAGGATGAGGAACAAGAGGAAGATTCTCCAGATATGTCAATATTCCCGGTCAGTGGGTTTCAGGACCAGGAGTATGACGCCTTCCCACAGGACGAATCCTACAACGAGGATGGACTCTTAACCGAGGACGGAGAAGAGGAGATAGGGATCAAAGAGGCCAAGATAATTACGATCAGGGTGGAAGGGCAAAGAATGGGCGGAAAGAAAATGTACAAATGTTCTCTTTGTCCAAATATTAAACCCTGGCCGACTATACATAAAGCAGAGCGGCACAGGATCACGCATATACCCCTTGCCTTTAGAAAGATGTTCCAATGCCCACAGTGTAAGGAAAGGTTTATTAAGGAGAAGAATGTAAAGCGTCACATAGACTCCGGGTTATGCCAGGGACCGAAGGAGCACCCCTGCACCGTGTGTGGAGAGATCTACGAGAGTAAGTTTGATCTTCAATTGCATGAAGAGAACCATGAACAGCTTCTCAAGCGACATAGATGCAATCTCTGCGGAGCAAAGTTTAATAAGATGAAATATCTTAATAAACATATTCTCTCCCATAGCAACCGTAAACCCTACAAATGTGATATATGTGGGAAATCTTTTAAGAGCGAGTATTACGTGAAAACGCACAGAAACGCGCATTTGAATGAGAACTACGAGAGCAGCGGAACCATGGAGAACAGTAACCTGGAAGATTTTGAGTTCGAGGAGCATCTCCGACCTCAGATAGATCTGATAGAAGAGGATCCTCCAGACCCTGACTCCAGTCTCGAACTTGAGGCTGAGTAAACCTCGTATTCTTACAAAAGCCAAGTGTTATGTTCCAAATCTTACATTCCAAAGAAAAACTGCTGAAACCAAAAATCTAATCTAATCAATAATCCAGTGCAATTCTATTCAATACAAGTTTTATTGCCTAAACATGTTGCAATTACTTTGATGTATTTAACTAAGTTACAACTATACCAAATATTTACTAAATATTGAACTAGGGTTACACCACCTCCTATATATATATTATATATACTTACTTATAAATAGTGATTTTAATCATTCCAAATATGGTGGGAAAAATGTGTTGCTTCTTAATTAGTCCAATTTTGTTGAATGGTTTTATTTGTAATGGTTTGATGAAGAAAGTTTTTATCTAAATTGTAAAAACTCAATTTTTCGAGAGAAATGTCGCGGCATTGTTCCAAGACATTGAAAACTTGGCTCAAATTTTAAAAAAAAATGTTTGACAATGGATTACAAGATTTTAAATTACTAGATAGTTTGACCTTATTTATTTAAAAAAAACTTCCGAGTTGAAACTTGAGTTATATGGATAAAAAATATCAAGATTTTGAAATTAAAAACAATGTTTAAATAAATTATTTATGGCCTTAACTAACTTTGTAGATATCTTGGTTCTTATTTCTTTAACCAAAGAATTTTGAAATACCAAATGTCAGTTTGGTTTCTTCTTGTATTTATATGTAAATATTTTTTTATAGTTTTCCGAATGCATTTTGAGTGCGATGAGAAACATTCCAAAGAGTTAAAGTGCAATGTTCCTTCTTGTGTTACGTATATAAAGAATGTAATTTTTTTTTAATATTTTTTTTTATCGGCTTTGTATTTGATAGTCTTATTTTATCTTTATTAATTACATTGTGTCCTAAATTCTAGGGTTTCGCATAAGTGGTTCCGAAATAAACTCCACTGAAATATTCACTGCAAAGATCAATTTGTTGAATTTTTAATCAATTTTTTTGCAGTATATTTTGAATTCAAATACATGACAAAAAAGATAATCACAATACCTTTTTGACCGATAGAAGTAAATTTTTTGTAAGATATAAATCTAAAATTTTTGTGAATTTTATTTGTAAAATGGAAAATCTTAGTTTGTTAACCATACCAAAGTTCATTTTGTCAAGATGCAATACTTTGTGATAAGTTAAACGCCTGCATTTAGATTATTTAAGTTTGTTTAAGTATGTCTTGAATTCTGTTATTTTATTGTGATGTTTTGTTTAGTAACTCGTTACTAGTCCACCTTATATTAAATTTGCACCTTCTAGGGAAAAATGCAGACATGCGTGAGAATAGTTCATCATCGTCTACCCGTCAGAACAGTCTTCTTACTTCGTAGTGAACCATTGACGGACGGACGGACGTTATTTCACTCTGGCTCCGTCAAGTTTCGACGAAAAAAGGAGGATAATAAAGGTCCGATCCGATCCTTGCCCTCTCAGCAGAATCAGGGTTTTAAGGATCCGTTAACACTATTTAAACCTGTAGCTGTTAAACCCAACCCTGATGATATAAACTTTGGCGAAGAACTTTCAGGTCAGAATTTTCATAATTCGTCAATTTTCGGACACACACATTTTGTATTCTTATGAAGGTACACTTTTGTATTTTTCTTAATTTTAAGAATTTACCATTTTGAAGTTGATGCAAAGCTTCGTTACTTGTCACCTTAAAACTTCTGTAATTTTTGGCTGAAAACCAAGTTTAATAGGTTTTATAATTGTTTTAGCATATGTTTAAAGGAGTTGGGAGAATTTACTTTATTAAGTCTTATCAAGACCAATGTGGAATTGAGAATGAGAGTAATGGTTTTCTGTCTTTGAAATGCGAATCCGACAATTTTTAAGAAACAACAAAGACAAAAATTAGTAAGATGGTTTTTTACGTATTTTATGTATGACTAGGCCCAGTCACTTAATAAAGATAGTTTTTATAAAACTAATATAGATATAATTGTTTTTTTAGGTAAATTAAACAAAGCAGCATTATTAAAGGAGCTGAATCTTTTCTATACTAATAAGGAGGTTAAACTCCTGGCCAAGGAGCACGGTTTAGACGACTATCTTTATAATCAGGGATATATATTCTTCATTATTAATAATTTCTCTAAAAATTAAAATTTTAATAAAAACAATTTATTTTTGTTTTGTGGAAGAAGATTACGATGATCATGTGATTATTTCACTTAATAAGTTGATTTTCAATCTACTGAATTGGTCAAACTAATTTCTTTTTAACAACATCAAATATAAATAACATCGCTAAAATGTCGTCTTCCTTTTCAACAGTTTTAAGATCTTGACTATATGTTAATGTAAAAATTACTAGAATATTAATGTTGTGGTAGGTGTACTCCAGTTTTCGTAGATTTTGTCTAGACGTTAAACATCTTCCTACGGACCTTCATATTCTCTTCAGTGACATTCTTCAGGAATAGATCAATCAATCAACCCAGGCATTTTAACTTCAGCGTTGGAAAATATAAACCAACTCCCCCCCCCCCATCATCAATCATCATATCTTGTAAAAAATATTGTTCGAAAAAGATATTGTCTTCATTTTTTAAAATTAAGAAAAATATGAAAAATTTAAAAAAGGATATTTTATCTAAAATGTCGCCTTCCTTTTAAAGAATTAAAAACCATGATAATCTAACTTGTATCCCATTCACTTTGCACATTTAAAAGAATTTGTAAAAAATTAGTCGTAAAATGTAAAAGAATCTATTCAAATATTTTAAAATTTGAAGACTAAGACCGAAATACAGTGAACCGGGTATTGTCTCACGGCCGGACGCTTTTTGTCATGACACCGGATAATAAAGCGTATAATTTTAAATTACCCTTGTGTCCTGATTGATAGTTTTATGTATAGGGTGTTGTACACAATCATGATATGTTCCCGTATTTCCTGACGCATGCTAAGAAAGTGTTCCCGCATTTAGACTGCATGGATGAGCTAAAATTAATTAGGTTTGTTTAGAATTTAACGTAGGAATGATAATAACTGGTTCAAGAAAATGTACACCCCTGAAATCCATAGTCAACGAACACAGATTGCAATAATTGGGATATTTTCAAGTGATCTAACGAATCCTCCCAACTGGTATCCTGAAGTTTGATCAATGAACATGGATTACAATATATTTGATCTATTTTAGTGATCTAACGAATCCTCCTAATTGGTATCCTGAAGTTAGATCTATGAACATGGATTACAATATATTTGATCTATTTTAGTGATCTTACGAATCCTCCTAATTGGTATCCTGAAGTTAGATCAATGAACATTGATTACAATAATTTGATCTATTTTAGTGATCTAACGAATCCTCCCAACTGCTATCTTGAAGTTAGATCAATCAACATGGATTACAATATATTTGATCTATTTTAGTGATCTAACAAATCCTCCTAATTGGTATCCTGAAGTTGGATCAATGAACATGGATTACAATATATTTTATCTATTTTAGTGATCTAACGAATCCTCCTAATTGGTATCCTGAAGTTAGATCAATGAACATGGATTACAATATATTTGATCTATTTTAGTGATCTTACGAATCCTCCTAATTGGTATCCTGAAGTTAGATCAATCAACATGGATTACAATATATTTGATCTATTTTAGTGATCTAACAAATCCTCCTAATTGGTATCCTGAAGTTAGATCAATGAACATGGATTAGCACTAAGTTGATCTATTTTAGTGATCTAACAAATCCTCCAAACTGGTATCCTGAAGCTAGAGCAATGAATCGTAAAATAATATTCCACGCTGGTCCAACCAACTCAGGCAAAACATATCATGCACTGGAGAGGTTTCTCAGCGCTAAATCTGGGATATATTGTGGACCACTTAAACTACTAGCTGTCGAGGTACAGATAAAAAATAATGCTTTTTTATTATTTATTTTATTTTTTAAATCCTTATTTTCACTGTCTTGTATGTCTGTCATCCGTTCTCTCTCATCTTAAATTCATTTAATTTTTTTCCTTAACTTTCATTTATTATTACTTCAAATTTTTTGTCGTCGTTATTTAATAACAAAAAAAAAACGATTCTCAAATGGATGATTTTTAACGCCGACTTTGCGCTCAAACTCAGCAATTTTACATTAATAGAACGTTTTATATGTTCTAAATAAATCCTAAAAATTTTAATATAATACTATATTCTCAGTTCACCTACCATACATTACCGGTCACTCCCTTTAAGAACATATTTCTAGGTATTCAATAAAAGCAATTTACGTGGAATCCCATGTGATCTTGTGACGGGAGAAGAACGGAGAATGGTAAGTTGTAACCTATTATTTTTCACATTATTTTTATTATTACTTTGTTGATGCGAGAAACCTTGAATGATCTGTAAAAGTCTAGTGCTTAGTATCATGTGGACCCTTGATCCTTACTGGAACAAAGCAAAATTGTCTAATTATTTTTCATCTTTTTTTTCGCTTATTTTTTTGCTATAACTTGGTGAACCATTCAGAGACCAGTTCAGCAGTTCAGATTTGGGTTTTTGCCCCTTGGATTCGGATCCGGATCCAGATTCAGGAAGCAAAAATCTTGCGGATCCGGATCCTAAGCACTGAAATAAAACTTCAGTTTATAAAAGAAATGAGTACTTCAACTTAAAGGATTTTCCACCACTTTTTGCCATTTTTCTTGAAGATTTCCTTCTCCTCAAAAAGCGAGAAAAATTCTCTAAAACTGTTGAGAAACGAAACCAAGCAATCTGTACACCCCCTCTTGCGTTGAATATGATTAGGACCTTCATTCCCTTGAAACACATCCCCATTTGGTAAAGGGTTAAAAGTTTCGACCTTTGTTTACAATCTTTGTTATTGTTTTCATAAAACTAGTTCCTGGCAGTTACAGGCAAAAGTGAACACAAACTCTATCCCCCCACTGCACCTTACATGTATTACAACTTAAATGTGATCAGTGCTTAGGATTAATTTTATTTTGATGCGGATCCGCCCTTTAAAAAAAAAGATTCCGTATCATGAACATTTCTTTAAGATTTACCGAAGTTTCAATTTTTTTCTTCTTTTTTCGCTTATTTTTGTGCTAAACCTTAACAACAATTCAGAAATAAGGAAATTTTTACTAATTTTCTTTTTGACAGTTCACATTTGGGTTTGAGCAAAAAGTATTTTTTACAGTTTTGATTGATGAAGCAGTGATAACTTTTAAGTTGTTGTTCTCAGATGAACGAGGAGGGGGAGCCTGGAAGTCACGTGGCCTGTACTGTAGAGATGAGTAATCTAGCTCAACCATACGAAGTGGCGGTCATAGACGAGATACAGGTAAATATTAAATATACTCTTTTTGACAACCTATACGGTGTATAGTGCTACAACAGAGGTGCATATTTTCATAAAAATATTATTTTTGTGTGTCCCCCCTTCCCCCTGTTAAAAAATTTTTTTTTCTCCCAGAAGTTATATATGATTTTTAGGTGGAATGGAAAAAATTTTTTGGGTGTAAAGTATAAAAAGGGATAAAAAAGGTTGCCCCCCTCCCCTTTTTTAATTAAACACCCCTGTGCTACAAACTGAATTGGCTTCAAGTCAAACACCATTGATTGATTGATTGATTGATTGATTGATTGATTGATTGATTGATTGATTGAGTACGTAGGTGGTTTTTAAGTAATTGATTCTCATCAATCATACTCGCAATTTAGTCATACACAAATATCTGAATCACAAGCCACGTTGTACCCAGACCAAATACTGATTCAACATAACTAGAAGGACACTTTATTTACACTAACACAACTGGACCCCTTTTCTAAATAAACAATGCCAAATCTTTTTTATAAAACATCCAATTTTAAGATCAAATTTATCATAGCATATAAGAAATATTTAAACATAACAAGGCGAATGAGACAGTGAGAAACCATTTTGTTATTGTTAGGTGATAAAGGACTACCAGAGAGGTTGGGCCTGGACTAGAGCTCTACTAGGAATACAAGCGGAAGAAATTCATGTCTGCGGAGAACAGGCAGCTATAGATCTAGTCAGGTTGTACAAGTCCTTATAAGGATGTTAATTTTTTTAAAAATTGTACAGGACAATTAAAATTAAAATTTTGAGTTTATTGGTCTTATTTTTATGTCAATACGATCATACGTTCACAACGGATTTGGATGCCCTTCTAGGGTCTAATCTTAATCATATTTTGTAAAGGGAGATGATGATCAGTACTGGGGAGGAGGTAGAGGTCAGAAAGTACAAACGATTAACAGAGCTGAAAATAGAGGTAATTTTTACAATTAATGCTCACGGTACTTCTTTTATTTGGAAACCTGAGGAAGTGCACTAGTCAAGTAGTCTGTATGTCTGTATTTCTGTTTGTTTGTTGATAAAAAACGTCAAAACGAACTAAATGAACTCATTGTTATTAAAACCTTAGAATGGCTTAGGGTTGGGTTTCCCCTATTAAAATATTAGTTTGTAATCTGGTCAAATCATTAAATTCAACATGGAACGAACAAAATGACTGCTTATTATGATCCAAATTTTTTTAGTAGTCCTAACGTTTTGTTCTGTTGGAAATAAACCAAAAGAAAGTGGAACTAATTTTTTTTTTAATTTACTAGTCAATTAAAGGGTTTTTAGGGTTTTTGGAGTTGATCTTTTAAAAAAGTATACAATTTTGTGCTATGATGGACCGATGGTATAGTAACAGATTCACGGTTAGTTTGAAAAATTTCATGGAGGGCCTAAAACAAAACATATCTAGACTTTTAAAAATTATATTATCTTCTTTATTTTCCTTACTACTCATTAGGTTTACATCTTTCAGATGCGCATGCTGGAGTAAACGGAGAAAGCTTTTCTCAGTTTTTCTCAGCTTTTCTTAGCTTTTCTTAGCTTTTCTCAGCTTTTCATAGCTTTTCTCAGCTTTTCTCAGCTTTTCTCAGCTTTTCTTAGCTTTTCTCAGATTTTCTCAGATTTTTTTTATCTTTTCTTAGCTTTGCTCAGTTTTTCTCAGCTTTACTCAGTTTTTCTCAGCTTTTCTCAGCTTTTCTCAGCTTTTCTCAGCTTTTCTCAGATTTTCTCAGATTTTTTCAGCTTTTCTTAGCTTTTCTCAGCTTTTCTCAGCTTTAATCAGTTTTTCTCAGCTTTTCTCAGCTTTTCTTAGCTTTTCTCAGCTTTTCTCAGCTTTTCTTCATGCCCTTCAAATGCCTCATAACAAGCGTATCTCTTGTATGTCTCTTTGAAGTTGGCATGGACAGCTTGACTGCATTGTCCTGTATAAATTCCAAGTAGTGTCCCAGTCCGTTTCACATGATAGATAAGCACATGCCCTTTTCATCCTACTTACTTGTTTACTTGAAGTCTTGAATCAAGCGCCCCACTGATAGGGACATTGTATATGCATCTTTCAGATCTTCCAATCTGGTACATTAATTTTTCATTTAGTTTCCTTATTTTTAATCCTCAGACTGGCGGAGTTTCCACTGTGTGTATTGGCTTTTGAAGGAGCCAACCAATTTGGCGTTTTTTATTTCTTTTGGCAGGTCATTCCACTGTTGAACTACACGATTAGAGAAAAATCTTCTTCTCAACTCTGAATTTGATAGTTTACTTTTAATGTTCAAGGGATCCACTGAGAGCCGTGTTACTCTCTCTCCTCTGTTTTCTACAAACTCGAACCAAACTCTTCTATCAACTCTATCAATCTCATGTACAATTTTGAAAGTTTGGACCATGTCAAACTGAATCCGCCTGTCCTTCAGACTAAGTATGCGGAGTTCTTTTAACCTGTCTTCGTAATTATTGCCTCGAAGTCCAGAGATCATGGTGACAGCTCTTTTTTGTACGTTTTCTAGTACTTCTTGATCCTGTTGAAGCCATGGGTTCCATGCTGGTGTCGAAAATTCAGTATGGGGCCTAACATAAGGAGTGTACAGGTTTAAGAAGGTTTTTCTGTCTCTGTGATGAAAGGAGCGCGCTATTTGGTCAAAACACCATTTGCTTTTCTGGCTGCTAACTTACACTGGATGGATAGCTTAAGAGATTTATGGATTATAACCCCAATATCTCTTTCTTTTTCTGTTTTAGATTAAATAGTTAAGTAGTTTGTTTCAGAATTTCCTCTTCCCACATGCATAACCTCGCATTTATCAGTGTTAAATCTCATCCCCCATAGATCTGCCCAACTGGACAGATTATTGAGAATCTTTCACTAAAATCAATTAAAGGAAGTGGGTTATTGCCACAAACTCAACTTTTCTCATCCCTATATCTTTGCAACCTTAAGATGCAAACCTTTGACGTTTCAAACTTAGACTACTTGATCTAACAGAATTCATAGTATGAAATATCAAAGGTCTACGACATTGAGGGATTGGAAAATTTGAGTTTGTCCCAAAAACTCATTTCTATTAACAAATTATTCTATTGTGTGTTGTAAAAAATCAAAGGAGCCTAGACTCCTTTTGTTTGCTTTTAAACTTATTTTTTTCATATTTGTCTTATTTCAGGAGAGAAGTCTAGGAAATTTATCTAAAACCCAACCCGGAGATTGTATTGTTTGCTTCAACAAGAACGATATCTACAGTGTATCCAGGGAGCTGGAGAAACTAGGGAAGGAGGTGGCAGTTATCTACGGCAGTCTTCCACCTAATACTAAACTTGCAATGGCCACGAAGTTCAATGACCCGGACGATTCCTGCAAAATACTTGTTGCAACAGATGCAATCGGGATGGGATTGAATTTGAATATTAGGTGAGGAAAAACTGTTTCAAGTCGGAACAAAATTGTAATCGTATTTGCTCTATTCACGACGGTACAATTATTAACAACGCGTTAGATATCGCCGTTTTTTTAGCTGGAAAATATATAAATTTTCGGAATTCCCTTCCTTTGTACGGGTCACAGGACATAAATATCAAAGTCAAATTATAGAAAGGAATACCCGGATAACTAAACTTTAATCAAACAAAGCTCAAATTAAAGTCCACCAATCTGAATCAGAAATTTAACTCTTGAATGTAGCTATATTAAGTCGAAAGTACTGAGAGGGGGAAATATTTGTTGAGATTTTTTTGCTGGATAAAGTAATTTTTTGAGATATTTTTAATGATTAAGTAAAATTTAAGAATAATTCAATGAAATCTACAGGCTTTTACCCAATTCGGCTTTTTAAAATAAAATTGCTATTTCGTTTTCGTCATTTTCTCAATTCTTAATTTTTATTTTTGCTTTAATGGAAAGATTTAAAATAAAAATATATATTCAGACGAATTATTTTCTACTCCATAAACAAGATTCAATTAATGGAGAACGGAGAGAAGGAGGTAGCTCTCATTTCGGTCTCACAGGTATAATCTACATTCAGGGCTCAAGATTATTATTATTTGTTATTTAGTTCCGTGGGGGNGTTGCTTTGAAGTTTTTTAAGTCGAATGTTTTCTTGCGATGTACATAAACGTTTAAAATTTCATGGAGTGGTAGCTAAAGCGAGTTTGTCGATTATAAAGTTTTAATGCTTTACAATGAACTTACATTGATAATATTAAGGTTAGTGTGCTTAACCCTATATTTGTGGTCATAATTTCTATAACTATAACTATATAATATTCATTCTTTGTAAACAGGTTGTATCGCTCTTTTTTCATGGAATACGAAAAAGAATTTTGTTGTATTACTCAGTTTTTTTATGGCTTTTTATACTTGTTTAAAAACTACGGAATAGAAGTTTGAGAATTAATTAATCTGCTACGTTTATATGGTGTGTATTTAGGCGTTACAAATAGCTGGTCGAGCAGGGAGATTTGGCACACAGTGGGAGACAGGATATGTTACCACTTTTAAACAAGAAGAGCTTTCACCATTAAAGGTAAAATCTATATTCGTCTTGATTTGTAGATTTTATTAATTGAAATAAGTAGTCCGTTTCAACTACTTCTACAAGGTTGTTCAACAATCTTATCAGATTACCCCCCGACCTTCAGAAAGTCACACTGGTGGTATAATAAACCAAAAACTTCCACTCCACTTAAAGGGAGTGTTCGCGAAAAATGAAAGGGGGTATAGGCTTAATGCGATAAAAAAGCGCTTTTGATCGCTACTAATCATACTTCTATCTGTTGCGTCTATAAGGAGAAAATTGTTTAAGACGTCTCATACCGAATAACTTAGCGGCCATACAAATTGAGAAAATTGGAACATACGACTTAGACCGTAAAAAAATCAATTTATTTTTAAACAAATCATTCAGATATTACAACCTATAGTCATCGATTATCTTTCGCCACATTTGTAGATAGTTTATGTTTTATAATATTTTTTAATTAATTTGTTTGTTTCTCTTGTCGCTTGCGCAACTATCTAAGAATGCCACTCACAATTTTCGAAATCCGTTGAAAACGTTTTCTAAAAAAAATAAAATATTATAAAATATAAACTATGTACAAATGTGGCGAAAGATAATCGATGACTATAGGTTGTAATATCTGAATGATTTGTTTGAAATTAAATTGATTTTTTACGGTATAAGTCGTATGTTCCAATTTTCTCAATTTGTATGGCCGCTAAGTTATTCGGTATGAGACGTCTTTAACAATTTTCTCCTTATAGACGCAACAGATAGAAGTAAGATTAGTAGCGATCAAAAGCGCTTTTTTATCGCATTAAGTCTATACCCCCTTTCATTTTTCGCGAACACTCCCTTTAAGCTCGACCAATTATGTAAAGAGTTGAATGATCTCGTCCAAATCAAATCTTGTTTCTGTTTCTGCAGAATTTACTGGCAAAGAGTCCGGAAGAAATTCTTCAGGCGGGACTTCATCCAACCTTTGATCAGCTTGGTAAGTCAGTATTTATGGAAATGGAAGGGACCGTACACCCGTTTTTAAGTAACCCTCGATTTACAGCCTTACATGCTCTATTCACAACGGTACCCTGGATCGGAATAGCTTTGAGAAAGATATCGTCGTTTTTCTTTCTTAGAAAAGATAGAATAAATTCCCTCATATTCCCTAGTGGCTTTTCTGCCTAAATTCCTGAATCATTTTTACAGAGAACCGCAATTGATGCATCAAGAATAACTCAATCTTTTTTATCCAGACAATAAAAAGTACCGTTGTAAATCAGGCATGCAAAAACAAGGTCCACTTTGATTATGTACACCACCCCTAAAATATTTATTATAAATATAAAATACTTAAAAGTTCATTTAAACGTTTATTGTGCAAGTATATAAAAATCAATAATTGAAAATATAATTTGTTTATTAAAGAAGGAACGGATAACTCCATGCAAATTCTAACGTTCTAACCCCTTACTCGTTACAACCTGATGGACGATGGTTCAAACTTATGTTATTTCAAACTTTGACTATTTTATCTGGCAGAAGTCATGTTTTTAAATTTTTCACCATCTGGTTGCAAAGATTTAGGTTATAGAGAATTAGAGTTTGCTGCATTGATCGGCACTGATAATAATCAATTAATCTAATTGTGTGTAGAGATGTATGCCTACCATCTACCAGCAGCTAGTCTCTCCAACCTAGTCGATATATTTATATCTCTCAGCACTTTAGACGATTCTCTTTACGCTCTTTGTCATCTTGACGATTTCAAGTTCCTCGCAGATATAATCGAACACATCAGGCTTCCTCTCAAGGTATTTAAACTTTCTCCATGATTTCATTTTCCTCCATTTTCTTTTTTTCTTTTTCAAAGCTTGTAATTATTAACATTAATATTAATGATTTTTAAGGGTTTAGTCAATGTGGGGAAATTAATGATTTTTAGTGTGGGGTGGTCCTTAAAAAAGGTTGACACAGAAATTTGAACGCACGGTTGAGAATGCATTCTTTCCTAGGTACTAATATTTAAGTTTCTCCCAAAAAATCGGCCAATTTGGTCTAGTCGTTCGACCAGCTATAACGAACATATACATATATAAATAATACATGAATATAACCAATCTTAATAAACAATAGAAATTGTTCTAAACATATATTATCGATTAGCTTTATTTTACATATGATAATAATAATAATATAATGTAATTCATAGTTGTAAACATCTGTATATGTTCTAGGCAAAGTATACCTTCTGCTGTGCTCCGATAAACCGGAAGATGCCGTTTGTGAACACAATGTTTCTCAAGATGGCGAGACAGTTCTCCAGGGGTGAACTCATTTCATTCGACTGGTTGTGCACTCAGGTCTTCATAAAAAAACACAGCTTAAGAAAGGGATTTTTCAGATATTTAAGAAAAGCTCATTTTAAATTTGATAAAATTTAAAATATTTCAGTGTTTTCAATCGTCGTTTTTTCTTAGAGAATTATTTTCTTTGTTTTTCCGAGTTGGTAGGCATATCTACACTGCGGAAGACATTTTTTATCTATTATTATCTAAGGTTGGTTGGCCGTTCTCCCCTCCAGATACCATTCTAGATCTGGTTCATTTGGAATCCATTCATGATGTATTCGATATTTATCTCTGGCTCTCCTACAGGTATAAATACAGAATTAGTGAAAAAATCATAAAAAATTAAATCAAAATGAACTCGCGGAATTATTATGTGTTTCGACCTAATTTAAGATTTGAAAGCCTTCTATGGACGCGTTGGCTACCACGTGTCGACTAGCACAGGCTACATTGCCTTGGAATATGCCATTTGGGCGTTAAGAATTATTGATAGAAAAAAATTCAAATATTAATTTTCCGGAGGTTGTCGTAATCTTTCTTTCCGGAAATTTTAGTAATATACCTTTCCGAAAATTTTTATAGTTTATTTTTCCGGAACTTACCGTGTCAACAAATATATTATAATTTAAAAATGATTTATAATGTTTAGATTCTCCGACATGTTCCCTGATATAGAGATTGTCCGGGAGGTGCAGACCGAGCTAGACTCCGTCATAGAGGAAGGAGTTCGGAATCTAGTTTATCTGCTCAAAAACCAGGAGAACCATTTTAGTAATAGAACCACAGATCTAGACGAGGACAGCTTCGAGGTTAGATCAGAGAATTTATAAATGTTTCAGCGTTAAAACTATTTTTTTGTTGCTAACTTTATTGTTAAATTTGTTCATCAATTAGTACTTTTTATCAAATTTGGTCTTCTTTAAAAAAATTTGGCTTCGGCTTTAAAAGGATATTTATACATGAGGAAAAGTTTGATCTACTCAGAATTTTATGAGACCGTCAACGTTATTATAAATTACAAATATTGCCTTAAATAATAATTGGGTCCGAATCCGTCTGTGGTAAGGATTGTCTCGGTGTAAATTGCTATTTGTGAATAGTAAAATCAATTTAAATGTCGTTTTTAAGATTCTTTTTATAAACGCTTAAATACCGTTGAGGGGGACTAACGAGAACTATGTTTAGGTGAAGTCCCGACAATCTAATAAATATAAGAACCGTTGGACGCATGATGATGCCCAACTTGCCGGCAATAAACCCAGGTCGGATACCTCATTATCTAACAACCTGGAGCACAACCAAGATATTCAACACGTCCCAGACTCCAGTCCCGTGTCAGAGACCAGAGAGATCATTAACAAAGCAATGGTTGCTCAAGACCAAAGTATAATCTCAAACGACGCTAAGTTAAAGCGGAGAAAGGTCGGAAGACTAATAAAACGTTTAATGGAAGAGGGTGTCATTACTAAAGATATGGCGAAACAATTGAAACAAGATTCTTGGAGACCAGACAATTAAATTTACAAATTATTATATTTTCAGATTCATATGTAATGGTGTTCGGTCGAAAGGTGGCTGAACCCGTAAGACCCAGTCCTCCCACCGTTGATCAGATCTTAGAAGATCTTAAATCTGCCGATCCAGTAGATCCGGTCTATACCTTGAGCAAACAGCTTTTGGGTGGACTTATCAACGAGGATTCCGAGGGAGACGACCTATCCAACCCTAACGTACTGTACAGGAAGGTTTCGGAGTACGTTGCCTCGGCAGACAAGCTTGACGAGCTGAGTACAACAATATCTCAGGGAACAGATTCACTTACTCAGTCCCATCAGGTAGATAACAGGCTTGAAGTTGTGCAATATACATTTGCATAAACTCTTGAAAAATCATAACCCCCTCATTCTCCCGATGTTAGATATGTTCTTGAGGGATTTATTCGTTGAATTTGGGAAATATATGGGGGGGGGGGTGTATGGGAAATTATTGAATTTTCAAGTGAAATTTTTATAAAAGGGTTAAAAAAAACTTGCCAGCTAATGTCCAATATTTAATATTTGTTCCCTTAGATCTCTGCGCTACTTACGCTGATAATCAATCCCCCTAGCTGTGGGTAACTTCTCAAAATATGTACCTTTGTAAGCTTTTCTAAACAACGACCACAAACTTGCGATGAAATTAAATACTGCATAGTGATGAATTTATTTTGTAACCTTTTCTTTCTTTTACCTTTTCTGGCATCATGGCTATTTCTCAAATTCTGTGAAATTAGAAATTATATTTATTCGCAATTAATATTGGTTCATACTTAGTTTACAGATAGTTTACAGATAGTTTACAGATAGTTTACAGATAGTTTACATATAGATACCATTTTTAGGAGCTAATAAAGCTAGCAAAGGAGGTACAAAAACAACTTGACAGGATCAAGGGTGGTGGTGAATCAGGAGAAGAAAGCGATTCAGAGATCTGCTCTGAACCTAACCCTGAGAATCGAGAAGAGTTTAAGGAAACCACTGTTGAGGTTTGTGATCCTGATACTGAACCTGAAGGTTCCGAGATACTTGGAAGTCAGAAAACCGAAGAATATTTTGAGGAAGAATCTGAATCTGAACTGTCTCAAGAGAGCCTAGACTCCGAACCTGTTGAGGTAATATTAGGTTCTCATTTCTTATTACCACTTACACTACTTTTTATTGATGTTATTTAAATCAGTAATATTGTTAAATTTATATCTCACATTTAAAAAAATATATATATAGGAGGATCTGTGTTAGACAATCATTCATAATGGAGTTTTCTCTTGATGTCCCATTCTCCACGGAGAGGGAAGCCTGTATTGCGTACGATGCACTCCGAGTGGAGAAGGAACCACCTCGGTCCTGCGTAACCAGAGAAATGCGTCAGGACGGATGTGTACTCCGGATAGTGTTCCAGGCTGCTGAAGCGCGAAACCTACGCGTGAGCGTAAACGGATTCCTGGAGCACCTAATCCTCGTCACCGAAACGATCCTGCAGTTTGGTCCTCCTCTCTGAACAATTTATGATGCAATGTGATAAAAATGTAATTTTTTTCTTCAGAAAAAATGAACGAAGGCGAAGTGTTGACCCTTGTGTCAGCGCTGTCAATGAACCGACTGACCCCGGTCCAAGTTGACCGGCATACAACTGCTGTTGTGCAGACAGCCGGCAGCGCGCCACCCAGTGATACCAATGCCAGTAGTGTTCAGAAGCTGGCAAGCCGGGCAGAGCAGCCATCACAGTTTTTGAGGTAAACTATTTAAATTACTTTTATTTTTTTTATGAAACTTTTGGCTACTTAATCATTCTTACTTACTTTATGGTGATTTTAATTATGAACGTGCTATTCGGCAATCATCGTGCTATAAAGTTAAATTAGCTGTACATTATAGCACGTGGGCTATATAGTTTTAATTAGTTCGAGGTTTTTCAACAAAAAATTTAGGACATTTTCAAAATATTTCTTTTTCAATATATATGAAAATAAAAGTGAAATGGACTTTATATTTCATAAAATTACCTACAGGATGTCCGAATAATTCTGACAAACTTTAAACTGCTACTTTTTGGAATTTTTGAGCAACTGTAATTTGAACGTTTTGTTATATAGCAAAATATCCGTAACATCTATTGCAGAAAAAACACTAATTCAGTTTTCCCATACACGAGCTTATTTTGATAAAACGTTTCACGCGCAGTTTCACCTTTCTTTGGGTAGGCGGGCTGGATAAAACTAATTTTGCACGAAGATCGCCAAGGTCAAGAGCTACCTCCTTTCATTGAAGAGTATTTATTCAACGTCAACCCGGCCAATATACTTCTAAAGAGTTTTAGTCAATTTTCGCAATAGAGCTGATTTATGCATTTAAGAAAATGGCAGTCATTTTTAACACTTTTTAAAGAAAAAGAAATGAATCTAGTTATAAAACAAATCTTTCATATTTTGATTACTCAAATTTTTTAGAGATTTGAAAAATTCCAAACAATAACAAAGTTAAACCATTTTTAAAATTGGTAGGATTAAAAGGACACCCTGTATAGTGTCACTATTTTTTTGGCACGACATGCTGTAAAGTTTTTGGACTTAAATTTAATCTGTACCTTGAAGGTTCTCGCCTTTTTACATTCTATTTGTCCCGAGCTTTAAACACTGTAAACCTAAATAAAATGAACACCATGGAGATAGTGATGTGATGTGATGTGATGTGATGTGATGTGATGTGATGTGATGTGATGTGATGTGATGTGATTTGAATTATTGTAGGTTGACCCGCAGTATAGTTCCCCTGACCTCAAAACCTTGAGAGAGCGTTTACTCAAGAACGTAGAGAAGATGAACTCCGAGGTTCAAATTCAGAAACAGAAACCTAAAAAGAAAACTATCTTTGACGACAGATTATACTTGACCAATAATTATGTAATAGATGGAAACAGTAATAAAGAAGTAAGTTCAAGTTTATTTATATTTAAAAATATTATTTTTCCAGCTGCAATCATTTTTATTAGTTACTAGCTGTTGGGCCTGGCGTTGCCCGTGGATTTTTTTTTAATTTTGAAAAAAATTTAGCATATGCCCCCCAGGCTACCCATGAGTCCACAAAAAAATTCAGCCCATTCGGTCAAACCGTTTTGCCGGCTATAGGGAACCTATATACAAATGTCTTGTTTTATTATATAGATTTTAAAACTTTTCTTTTAGAGATTTCAATTTTTATTCAGAATATATCGAACCTTCGAGGAGTACCTCTGAGCTCCCAAGAATCCTGTTTAGTTGAAGAACTCTTGTACTCACTGGTTGGAAACCTGACCAGTCATATTCAACCCACCTGGAGCAGTTCAGGAGGAATAGAGTTCCAACTAGACCCGTCCATTGATAATAGTCTCAAGGTAGTACTCAGATTCTTAACATTTTCTTAATATAAACACTTCAAAGAGGAAAAGAGTTCCAACTAGACCCGGCTATTGATAATAGTACTCCTCAGATTCTTAACATTTTCTTAATATAAACACTTTAAGAAGGTATAGAGTTCCAACTAGACCCGGCCATTGATAATAGTCTCAAGGTAGTACTCCTCAGATTCTTAACCTTTTCTTAATATAAACACTTTAAGGAGGTATAGAGTTCCAACTAGACCCGGCCATTGATAATAGTCTCAAGGTAGTACTCCTCAGATTCTTAACCTTTTCTTAATATAAACACTTTAAGGAGGTATAGAGTTCCAACTAGACCTGGCGTTTGATAATAGTCTTAAGGTAGTACTCCTCAGATTCTTAACATTTTCTTAATAAAAACACTTTAAGGAGGAATAGAGTTCCAACTAGACCCGGCCATTGATAATAGTCTCAAGGTAGTACTCCTCAGATTCTTAACATTTACTTAATAAAAACACTTTAAGGAGGAATAGAGTTCCAACTAGACCCGGCCATTGATAATAGTCTTAAGGTAGTACTCCTCAGATTCTTAACATTTTCTTAATATAAACACTTTAAGGAGGAATAGAGTTCCAACTAGACCCGGCCATTGATAATAGTCTCAAGGTAGTACTCCTCAGATTCTTAACATTTTCTTAATATAAACACTTTAAGGAGGTATAGAGTTCCAACTATACCCGGCCATTGATAATAGTCTCAAGGTAGTACTCCTCAGATTCTTAACATTTTCTTAATAAAAAGACACAAGGGGCTAATCATGTATTATCTTAAAGCTTGATTTTTTCGAGTTGATAAAAATTATCATAATTATGACCTAGAAAATATAGAAAATGAGATATAATCATAAAAATTAATAGAAAACAAAAATGTATGAGAATAAAAGATGTGGTTTTATTTAGAGTTTGATATCTCGTATCCTGCCTCTGTGTGCCAACTACAGCAAAGTGGTGGGTTGGTGTGAAGGAGATGAAGTGGAAGGTGGGTATTCTTAACTCTTTAATCTTCATTCTTCATTTTTTTCAATCTTGACTCTTGACTCTTGATTCTTGATTCTTGATTCTTCATTTTTCATTCTTTATTTTTTCAATCTTGAATCTTCATTCTTCATTCTTGAATCTAGCATCTTAATTCTTGAATCGAATCTTAAATCTTCATTCTTGAATCTTCATTCTTGAATATTGAATCTTCATTCTTGAATCTTGAATCTTCAGTCTTGATTCTCGATTCTTCATTCTTGATTTTCGCTATTCTCGATTCTCGAATCTGGACTCTGGATTCTCGATACCAGATTTCCTATTTTAATTCTGGAAAAAATTAGCTTATTCCTTTATATATTTGTTTATTAGGACGGACGAACCAAGCTCTAGTGTCCAGTATAGAGATGTTACTCCAGGACTATAGAAGTTTGGTATGCCAGCTGGAGGGAGAGCTGAGAAAAGGAAACCTGTCCTTGCAAACCTTGTGGTTCCGATTACAGAACAGTATACACAGTATGGATATGTTGGCAGGACTAGTGGATACAATCTCCAGCAGAAAGGTGGGAAGCAAATCTTGTTCATTCAATCATTCTTTAAAATGCTTTAAACATCGAAATAGATTTTGTGATAAAAAATAATAACTTAAATGGTTTTTTTTTGCAAATTTTCCTGTTTTCTCTATCTTTTGATTGTTTCCAGGCTAAAGGAGGGACAACACTCTCCATTCTTCATGATAAATATACTCATTCTTGTGGAAACCTTAAAGCAGAGAAAATATTACACTTCTTAGTAGAGCTCACATCCAAGTAAGTAAAGGACAGGACAGGACAGGACAGGACAGGACAGGACAGGACAGGACAGGACAGGACAGGACAGGACAGGACAGGTCGGGACAGGACAGGTCGGGACAGGACAGGTCGGGACAGGACAGGTCGGGACAGGTCGGGACAGGACAGGACAGGACGGGACGGGACGGGACGGGACGGGACGGGACAAGGACTGGACATATTTTTATATATTCCTGTTACCAGACCGTTCTTCGAGACCTTGTCTGCTTGGTTGTACCGAGGAGTCATCCTGGACCCATCCAAGGACTTCTTTGTGGAGGACAACCAGGTGCTGTGCAAGGAGTCTTTACCCCTAGAGTACAATGACGACTTCTGGGAGAAGAGATACGGATTACGAATTGATAAAATACCAACATTTCTCCAGGAAAATTAGAACTTTTTGGATCTCAGCATTTAAAAATTATTTTTTTAAACACTTAGCTCTGAAGAATACAGGCATTCTTGCTGTTCTGCTAGTGTGTTTATTGATGATAATAATAATCATTGTCAATCCTTCAATCTGAGATTTCAGGCTTGTGCTCCCTTCCGTTTAAGTTCCAATGAATTAACCCAGTTAAGAGCAGAGTGTAAATTCAGGGGTGGGAGTCAAGCCTTTGGCGGTCTGCCATTGACCCTTCTGTACACTCAGATGGCTCAGTTACATTTGCCATAATACTTATGCCATAAATACATTTGCCATAATTACACTTGCTATAATGAGTTTGTCATAAGTAACACTTGCCATAAGTTTCACTTGCCATAAGGTACACTTGCCATTATGGTTACACTTGTCATAATTACAATTAACTATAGTTATAATTAACATCCATACATTTTTTTTATTGAATCTAAATGAGGGCAGTTAATGAGCAGTAAGGTAAGATACTGCTCTATTGGAAAAGTATTGTTTTGTCATTGATTCTTCACCAAGCTCTTTCATCCAGTATTAATGTTCATATCTCTCCCAGCAGCATTGTTAGAAAACTAAAGTTGGGAATTTTGGCAAGTGTTACTTATGGCAAAAGTATTTATGGGAAGTGTAATTATGGCAAGTGTAATTATGGCAAACGTATTTATGGCAAATGTAACTTGAGCCTCTTAGATTCCTTATGATCCTGTCGGTACCATTAGTATGTCGAAATGTTCAAAATGGTTTTTTGAGATTGAAGAATGACACTGACTATTGAGTTGATTTCATTAATAACCTTTAATTATTCCTGTTTTCATTATCCAGTTCAGGCATTGTGTACTCATTAAACTAATCTGATTTCTAGTTTCTACATAGCATTTTTGTTTGAGAAATCCCTAATTGCTTTTTTATACATTTATCTAGTGTTGTAAACCATAGTGTCCATCTTTCCTGTCCAGTTATGTGTATTGCCACCTCTAATATTCTAATGTTCTAATGATTGAGCAGAAATACTCTGAAAGAATTCTAAGAACTGGTAAATATCTGAACGTTATTCAACAGTGTGAGAAGCAAGTACACTGGCCGCCCCTGGAGAATCTAGAATATTTATCCAACCCAGAGGATTACGAACCTCTCATAGAGAAGGTATGGTAGGGTATACATGAGGTATAGGTGGCATGTTTAACGAAAAAATTAAGTATAACAGAACGTAATTCAACGGAATTAAACTTTATTAACGCGACGGAACGAAATAGAATGAATGGAATTAAAAATAATGGGAAAGGGAAATAAAGTTTATAGAATTACATGGAAAGGAAGCGTGAAGAAAAAATGGAAGGGAAGAGTGTCTTTTCAGGGGAGTATATTCTTACTCCCCCCCCCCCCCCCCAAACTTATAAGTTTGCGCGGACTGCGTTACCTTGTTAAAAAAACCTGATTTTTTGGTTGTGACTTTTGGGAAGAAATATTACTGAAAAAGGGGGGGGGGGGAACAAGAATCTCAGAACTAATATACACCCCTGGCCCTGGGTAAGAGGGTAAAAAAGTTGTAAAAATGACTGAACAAAGCTGTAAATTTAAAATAACAATCATGGTAAGAGAGGCTAAATGACTTAAAATATAGTAAAATAAGTGATTTAGTGGTAAAATCGCTAGTTTGCGATAAAAAGCCGAAAAAAAATGTTTTCCTTCGGGGACAATAATTCCAGTAAGAATATACTTCCCTTTGTTTTTACGGTAGTCTAAAAACTATTTAAATCTTAAATTCTAAACGATTTTTTTATATAAACCTTATTGATTTAGGCGCACATCTTTGCCTCCGCAACCCTGCTAGAGTTGTTGGTCAAGGACAGGGACCTGATCGGACACCTCACCAGCATGAAGAAATACTTCCTCATGGAACAGGGAACTAAGATTCAATATCATATTTATTTATATATTACTTATATGTTGTACATCGGGTTGTTAAGTAAGATAACTTTGATGGCTTGTAAGGTAGACCCCACCAATCAATGGAAAAAAGTCAAAATAAAAGATTTAAGAAATATTCAATATTTCTTCTTTCTTCTGCTTTTCATTTGTGCATTTTTTCTAAATGAGACAATTATGGTAACGATTAGAATGTTCTAGGTATTACGAACTCAATATAATAATAATAATATTGGCTTGGTGCCCAAAATTTGTACTTCACAGTTTTTTCTTCATTTTAAATCTGTTCCGTGTGTCCAGGGAGATTTTATTGTCCAGTTTCTGGATTTGTGTGAGAAAGAACTATCCCAACCTGTAGATCAGGTTGAACCCGCCAGATTAGAGTCTCTCCTAGGCAATCAATCATTCATATCCTGAGAATGTGACACAGTTTACATAAAAAGTTTCCATCTAATTTGAATATTCTAGTGAAGTGCTTAGCAAAGAAGTATCAGCTTGGAATTTTAAAAATGGCGGAGGTCTGATTTAATGAACAGCTAGGAGTAGTTGAGCTAGGTATAACTAGTTGAACTATTTATCAAGTGTACTCTTTGCCATACTAGAGAAGAAAGTTCAACCTTTCCTAATTAAACGCATTAATAAAAAACCTTTTTGCCATAATTTTTATTCAACGCCAACAGACAGCAGACTATATTTAGGATTACTCTCAAAGGATTAGGCTCTAAAGACGACCTGAAGCTCTAAAAAGGATTATTTTAATGAAGTCTTCTGCCTGAAATGTAGTCGTCGTTTGATGTCACATCTAATATTTTGCCAAAGAGAGAAACAGGATTGGATATAAAAAACCGAATCACAAATGCCCGATATGACACTTGCCCCAAGATACTTTTTCCCGACACTATATTTGTTTGACATTAACATTTGCCCGAACCTACAAAATCCTGAAGTGAAAAAATACCGAATCTGCAAACAGTGTTAAACAAGCTCGAACAAGTTTGCAGTTACAGGGAAGCACATATTGGGAAACCAAACAGTATTAATTCCATATAGACGTCTCTAAAATCTCATTCTTTGTGGGTAACCCTGTATTTCAGAGTTTGCGAGTTTTTAGCTATTTTCAACCTAAGATCATATAAAAACTACATCCAAAAAGACATTATGAAGATGATTGTATTGATCAGAAATGGCGTTGAGAACATCTAGTGCTAACTACGATCAGAACAAGGATAATCTGTGTGTAGCACTTCTACCCTATGATCTCATATTCCAGATGGGGAAAATACTCTCTATTTATACATCGGAGGAACAGGTATAGGAGGAGAGTATCTATGAAGGAATGATCTTGAATTATTTCAATACTTAAAACTTTAAGATATAAGTATTTTTTTTAACATTTTTTTTTGTTTAAGTTTAATTTTTTTTTACAATATTCTTTAAATATTTATTTAATATCAGATGAAAATATTTTGAGATTTCTATATTTCTTGTTCTTCATTTTCTTTTCGTACATCTTTAAAACATATTACGGCTAATTTTGAAGAAAAAAAGATTTTTTGGGGGATATCCTTGCAGTATGCCACGCTTCAAGCTTGAATTATGCTGAGATTATCTTGCTTTCTTTTTTTCGGAACTCTGTATTGAATTGTTTACTCATGGGTTACATCTGACTAATAAAAACACACAAGTCCTAATACTCTCTAATTTCCGCCTAGAGTGAAATAAATGGAGGGGGACCCATCGGACCTTTATTTTATAAGTAATGAAAAATAAATCACAGGTTTCCTAGCCTGAAAAATGTTAAATTCTGACAATTCCCATTAACGATTCTGTGGCATAAATCCGCAAGTCACTTTTTCAGAGAAGCTACAATTAAAAATAATCAACATTTTTAAAGAGTAGAAAATTAACATCTCATTAATTTTTTGTCTAACAAAGCTTAAAAAAGGCACTTTTGAACATGTTATTCTTAAATGGAAGGTCACTTGAAAATACATAGACAGTTTATTGCTCAATACATTTTAAACCAGTGCTTAGGATCCATTTAACTTTGAAATGGATCCGCATGGAAAATAATGAATCCGGATCTTGTTTCAAATCCGAATCTAGGTTATTTCTCACAAACTAACTGAACTTTTTTAACAAAGCAGAATTTTCAATTTTTTTGCCTAATTTTTTCGCTTATTTATATGTTAACTTGGCCGGATCCTAAGCACTGTTTTAACTATTGTCCATCAACGCCTTCCTTTATTTTAGGTTGATTGGCCTGTTTCTCTTGTACTCAACCACAAAGCATTGGTTAGATATCAAATGCTTTTCAGGTAGAAAATAAGTAATTAATGTTGTGAAATTTTGATAGTTTTATTCATAAAACGGTCCTTAGGATACAAAGCCAAGTGTTTTAGTTTACATTATTCAATGTTCAGGAATACATAGGACATATCGTTGATTTTCGAGAAATTACTTTTCGAGCAATGATATCTGCAGCTCTGTTTATTTTATTTAAAAATCAACGGTGTGTTCGAATATTCACTACTTTTTTATTTAAACCTGTAATTTATAATTTAAATTGATTAGAAGACTATTTGGATTTTATGTATTTATATTCAGGCATCTGTTCTATTGTAAGCATATAGAACGATTGATCTCAGCAGTCTGGATTACAAACAAAGCCACAAAATTCCTCCCAGGTCTGAAATATCATCATTAAACTCGGTTTGGAATTTAAGTTTTGTGTAAGCATATACTTTTTCGTAAATTGTGTAGCAGACAAAAATCCACTCCACTCTCAAAGATTCCAAATTAGGTGATGCGTTCAAGGTCTATCATCCCTCCTTCGGTCTCCGACAGAAGATGTTGGTTCTAATCCAGAACCTGAGCTACTACATGATGGTGGAGGTTGTTGAGCCCGCCTGGCACAGCCTGGTCGTCAGCCTAGCCGCCTGTACTACAGTTGATGATGTTCTACAGAAGCATAATGATTTCCTAGACAATTGTCTTCATGACTGCTTGCTCTCCTCACCCCAGGTAGATACTAGATACTACTCCTGTAGGTTCGGAGAAATACCTCATGTAGATCCTAGATACTACTCCTGTAGGTTCGGAGCCATGCCCCAGGTAGATCCTAGATACTGCTCCTGTAGGTTCGGACCAATACCCCAGGTAGATCCTAGATACTGTTCCTTTAGGTTCGGAGCCATACCCCAGGTAGCTACTAGATACTACTCTAGTAGGTTCGGAGCCATACCCCAGGTAGATCCTAGATACTACTCCTGTAGGTTCGGAGCCATACCCCAGGTAGATACTAGATACTACTCCTGTAGGTTCGGAGTCATACCCCAGGTAGATACTAGTTACTACTCCTGTAGGTTCGTAGCCATACCCCAGGTAGATCCTAGATACTACTCCTGTGGGTTCAGAGCCATACCCCAGATAGATTCTAGATACTGCTCCTGTAGGTTCGGAGTCATACCCCAGGTAGATCCTAGATGCTACTCCTGTGGGTTCGGAGTTATAACAAACTCATGAATGACAAACTCTTAAAAGAGACGGTCAATAAAAAAATCCGGGAAGGTCAAATTTTGTTCTTAATTCTGTTTGACTTTTCAGTTCTCCCAGTGTGTGTGTGGGGGGGGGGGTCAGTTCTGGAGTTTCATGAAGTTGTCTTTAAAGGGACTGTTAGCGCAATTTCAAGTGACCCTCCATGCAAAGATGGCAATGCCCGATTTACAGTGGTACCCTTAAAAACTTAATTTGATTAATTTTGTAAAAGATATCCTTGTTTACCTGGCTCGAAAAGTGTTTATTCTAATAATTTTTCCATTGCTTCCATTAAGCAAGATGTGTACACAAGTCACTTTTCTGCGAATGAAAACATGGATATCTAATTCATACACAGATTTTAAGGGTATCATCTAAATCTGGCATTGCCATTTTTCCATTGAGGGTCACTTGAAATTACGTTTACAGTCCCTTTAAGAAGTTTGCTTTAAAATCTTTGTTAAAAATTGAAACATCTTCTTATTTGAACAATTAAATTAAAATAGAATTCCATTTTTATCTGTTTTAATTGTTGCTCTGTTTAGTTGCTTGGAACAGTAAAGAAACTCCTCGGTATCTGTGCTGAGTTCTCAGAGTATATGCAGAACCTCAGATTATCTAGTACTGATCAGTTTAATGAAGATATCTCCAGGTAGAAATATAACTATTCTCTTGTACGGATCTAGGATTAAACTAGATTTTAAATCTCTCTTCTCTAGGTTTGAACCTTAGACTTGAACTATAGTTTATATCTCTGCTCTATGTTTGAACTATAGTTTAAAACTCGCTGCTCTATGTTTGAACTATAGTTTAAAACTCGCTGCTCTAGGTTTGAACTATAGTTTAAAACTCGCTGCTCTATGTTTGAACTATTTAAAACTCGGTGCTCTAGGTTTGAACTATAGTTTGAATCTCTCTGCTCTAGGTTTGAACTATAGTTTAAATCTCTGCTCTAGGTTTGAACTATAGTTTAAATCTCTCTGCTCTAGGTTTGAACTAGAGTTTAATTCTCTCTCTCCTAGGTTTGAATTAGAGTTTAATTCTGTTCTGTTCTAGGTTTGAACTACAGTTTAAATCTCTCTTCTCTAGGTTTGAACTATAGTTTAAATCTCTCTTCTCTATGTCTGAACTAGAGTTTAAATATCTCTCTGCTCTAGGTTTGAACTATAGTTTAATTCTCTCTCTTCTCTATGTTTAAACTATAGTTTAATTCTCTCTGCTCTAGGTTTGAACTATAGTTTAAATCTCTCTGCTCTAGGTTTGAATTAGAGTTCAATTCTGTTCTGTTCTCCCTCCTGGACAAAATATCCCAACTTGGACGAGATAATTACAACGAGAAGGTTCTGAATATTCTGAACAGGTAACCTTGAAGCATTCATTCTTAAATGTGCCTTCTAATAAAAGAAATTCTAGTGATGTTTAATTAATACATATTTTTAGGATTGATTTTAACGGATTCTACACAACTGCTATGGATCAATTCCGGGCCTCTACTCCAGCTCCTGACGTAGTACCGTAAATCAATAATCGAATCAACGGAAAAAGTTTCTTGACCCCCCCCCCCCCTTCTCAAAATTTCATGGAAATGCTGTTCCAGAAATATTTTCTCATTTGAAAAATGAGCCATTTTAACTTTTAAACAAAATAGAATTCAAAGAAATCATCCCAGGCATTTGAAAATAATCTCATTCTAATCCAATACGCTTATCATACAAAAAAGTATATATTATAGTTTATTTATTAACCTATGATTATAATGTAATTAACTAATACAGATTTATTAATAATAAAAAGAATGTTTCAGATTAATTGAAGATGGGAGACGTGGAGTAAACTCATCTTAAATTCGTTCGCCGAAGGAAACATATAAATTCAGGTATGAGAAGTGGAGTTATTAAGTTTAAGACATTTTTGTCATGATATAGTTTACTGTTACTTTTTATAGAATCTTTTCTATTTCACACATTTTCGTCTCTATCTTAATCTTGCCTTGGTTAGCATGGCATCATTAATGCTTGTGAAATTGTAACTCTTCCAAACAGAACAAGATAAAAACAAAGAAAATAATCTAAACCATTTTAGCCTTTGAGTTCATATACACTAGTATTAGAATCTAATGTATTCTTGTTTAGGTTTCTGTTTATGATAGTTGGCCTTATAACGTCTTTGTCAAGACTCCCAACCCACACAAGATTCATGTGGACCAAGAGCTCAAAGTAAACCAGGAACTGAAAAGCCTTGATCTGGAAGGGATTGTGATAACATACCCCAACTAGATCAATTAGCTGTTAGATAATCCCTGGATTCTTGATCTGGAAGGGATTGTGATTACATACCCCAACTAGATCAATTAGCTATTAGATAATCCCTGGATTCTTGATCTGATCTGAAACAAATCTTTGAACTTTTGTATTTACAGAAATAAACCATGCTGAGAAGGAAGGCACGAGAGAGGCGTGAGTATCTGTACAGGAAATCTGTAGAGGACCAGCATAGGAAAATCCAGGACAAGAAGGACAGAGTACGACGTGCAGTAGAGGACCACAGCTTGATAGATACAGATCTAAAGCGGGATGCTTTGGAATTACAGGTAAGATAGAACCTAAATAGAGGTTTTATGAGTGGGATGGCGCTGGATCATATGAAAAAGCTGAGTCGGAGTTTCAATCTTGTCCCTCCCCCCTTCCTCACGATTTGTCGCAAACAAAATTTCAGAATTGATTTTACATATTTTGTCTTAGTTAAAACTCGCAGTACATCTAAAATATGGTTAAATTTGAAGATTGTTCTTTAATGATAATACTGATAATAATTATTTATAATAATGAAAATCAGTGTTTCGGATCCGGATCCGGTCGGATCCGGATCCGGATCCGTATCAGGAAACGTTGATATGGATCCGGGTAGCGCCAAAAATTAACCAAAACCATGGAATAAATAAATCAAAATGTCTATATTTTTTAAAAATTTTTTGGTTACATTTCGCCCGGTTTCGGAATATATAATAAATATAGTTTATAAATTATAACCTTGCATAACATTTAATAGGGAAAATCCGATTCGCAGAATCAAAAGTTACCTCGGATCCGGATCCGGATCCAAATCAAAATGATATGGATCCGAAACACTGATGAAAATAATGATAATATGATGATAATGATAATAATGATGATAATAATGTTTAGAGGATGGGTGCCTGGGATGATGCAGGACCTGAGCTAGCTGTTCAGCAAGGCGGAGCTGGAGGTGGTACACTAGCCAATAGTCAAGATGATGAATACAGGTACAGGGTGTCCCACTAAACATGACAGTAGCTTGACGACTTGAAGGTCCTCTTTGAACTTTGAAATAATTTACGGCATTATTCGTAAACCTAATTCTAGAAGTATTAATAATACATACAAAAGTAGGTTGACGGCATGATGCCGAAAATAATTTGAAAGATTAAAGGCGACTCCAAGTCGTCTTCTATTGTCAAGTTTCATGGGACACCCTGTTAAATAATACAATTTATTTTTAAAGATTATTTATGTTTCAAGGGACAGGTTTTTTTTAGGCAATAGAGATGGAGAACACTTTTGTATTTTTAGTCGTACTTTTACTAGATAACCCTTTTTCATCTTATTTTTATGTTTCGAGATGTTCTATGGGCCGATCCAATTATCTTAATTATCTATGTTTAGATGGGCTGGAGTAGAAGACCCTAAGATAATGATCACTACCTCAAGAGATCCTTCAGCTAAACTAAAACAGTTCGCCAAGGTTCGATTTCAAATATTAGCTATAAAAAATTCGCAAAATCACTTCATTCAACTTTAAATTTACTTTTATACAGTTGTAACCAGATAACAGTGAAATTTGGTCTTTTTTCCTTATTATTATTAATTGTCGCAAGGATTTTGTTATTTCAACTCAACTGTTTCTAAAAATGTGCCATGAAAATTTCCAAACAATAAACATATTTTAATTACCCAAACTTAAGTTTTTGTTTATGATATAAAACACTTTCCCGTTGAAACTGTTCATAAAAGTCCAGTGTAAATGTTATTATATCTCATTTTCACGAATTTACGGTTTTCAAACTTTTCTTCAAATTTTTACATTCTGTTTTTTGTTGTATATATTAGTCCTATTTTCAACATCAGGGAACTTTATTAAAGGATTTGACCAGGATTTAAGCAGGATTTGACCAGGATTTGAGAAGGATTTGAGCCAAATTTGAGAAGGATATGAGCAAGAGTTAAGCAGGATTTAAGCACGATTTTAGCAGGATTTGAGCAGGATTCGAGAAGGATTTGCGCAGGATTTGAGCAGGATTCTTCGAGAAGGATTCGAGCAGGATTTAATATCACTCCTACATCTAGGAGGTCCGTCTCCTGTTCCCTGGATCTCAGCGGTTAAACCGAGGAAGCTACGAATTCAACCAATTGATGGACGCCTGCAGGGCTAACAACGTTACAGACTTCCTGGTGGTTCACGAGCACCGTGGTGTTCCTGACGGTCTTATCGTCTGTCATCTACCTCATGGACCTACGGCATACTTTACCATCTCAGATATTGTCATGCGTCACGATATCCCAGATATAGGTAAGTGAGCATTGAAACAATTGAATTGAAAAAAAAATATATCCGCGCCAATATTTCTACCAAAGAATTCAGTCTTTGCGACAAACTCAAATTTTCTAATCCCTATATCTTTGCAACCTTTGTGGCTAAGACTCAATTCCTTTCTATAAAAACCATGATTTCTTGAATTTAGTTTTTAACATTTAAAATGTTTGTTAGGAACTATGTCTGAAGCGTATCCTCATCTCATCTTCCACAATTTTAAGTCTCGGCTAGGAGAAAGAACAATGTCTATTTTGAAATATCTGTTTCCAGTCCCTAAAGAGGAATCCAGGTATAAACTTTTATCCTAACAAAATGTTATATTTAGCTTACTTATTGGTCAAAAGCGAAGGCATAGATTTTAAATCTTGTTCATTCAATTAAATCAGCACTTGATGTTTGTTTAATTAATTTTTTATCAATGGTTAGAAATATTTCGGTTTTTGGCAAAATCATGATTCAATGTGATAAGTATGACATTTTATAAATATTCTGCCACAATCATTATCCACTGCAAATACCAGATATGTGCTTATTTGTCGTAAAAAAACCAGGATAGCTCAATCAGTTTTACTTTCATAAGATTTAAACGGTCCTATTATAAATCAGGCCTGAAACTCTTCAAGCGAATTTCTTTTTAAATTTCATCTCGACATTTTCTTGAAACTTAACAATTGCAGGAGAGTTGTCACGTTTGCAAACCATGATGATTTTATCTCCTTCCGTCATCATACATACAAGAAGACAGAGAGAGGGAAGGATGTTGAGCTGGCAGAAGTCGGACCCAGGTTTCAACTCAGGTAGGACCTACGTTTTCATGGGTTTTATGGGAAAATTATTTTTCTTGGTATTTTTTTAAAACCTTTCCTGAGATGAGATTCTAAAAGCTGAGCCGGGTTTTGGATGGCCATGAGTTAAGTAAAAACCAACTCTCTTGGGTTTTTCTCTCTTTAAGGCTCGAGTCTTCAGCAGCTGATGATCGTAAATTTCCTAAAATCTTTTATTTAAAATCTCGGGAATTATTTGTGGTGTCAAATTTTATTAATTATATAAAATAAACATACTATGAAAATAATGTATCAATATAAAGTTTGAATTTTCGAAATTTACATCTCCTTCTCACAGCTGATCTGACTGCATTCTGTCTGCTACAGAGAGAAAGCTTGCAAAACAGTCTCTCATTTGTCGAATCAGGACCAATCCTGACTTGGGTTCTATCTAAGCCCGAGTTTGGGTTTTACTCGGGTTTAAGCTTCTAAAATCTCATCTCTGTTGATGTCATTTTTCGCTCTCAAATCTAAAATAAACACCCCTGCGGCCTTCAGTCTTACTCTTAATAAGAGGACAGTTTTAAATTGAAGTTAATTAGTTCAATTATTGAAGAGGGCGCTGGACGACAACGATTTATTTGAGAACTGACATATGTTTTTGGAAGAAATCGAGATAGCTTGATTTGATAATAGAAATATTTAACCATTAGAATTCGCGTATCGGTATCGTTTTTATGATAAGTGTCAAATTAAAGAGCTTTGATGAGTTAAATGTTTTGTATTTAACTTTACAATTTAGGAACTACCTAAATGTTAGGAATAACAGTAGTATATATATATATATATGTCGTATTTGTGTTCGGGCATAACCCTCTTTAAATNCTCCGTATCACTTGAAGAAACATATATACTAATTCAGAAACATTTGTTTAAACTAACACTACTTGATGACATCAGATATGTTTTGAACTGACAGTGCGTAGAATCCTAATTGTCATAAACCTACGCACATTCTAATGTGCACCGTGCACAGTACATAATAAAGAGTGTACTGTGAATAAAGAAACGAAAAATCAATATAATTTAAGAGCCAAGTTTTAGTTTTTATTATAATGTTGCAACTAAATTTTCAGTCAGCACAGCAAAGTAGCAAATTAAATAGTCGATTTATCAAGTGTATACATATTTACATATTTATAGAAAAAATACATAATTTTCAGTGAAAATGACCCCTAGAAGTCACCTCAATTTTTTTTGTCGATACTCTTTTCAATTTCTTAGGTTCAGAATGTACTTTTTTGCGCAGTTTGGATTGTACTTAGTAACCCCAAGTTATATATTTATCTGGTGAATATCCGAATATAAGATGATCTAGTTTATACATCTCATAGAGTTCTTTTATCTTTTCCTTACTCAAGAGTCCGTAATATCTAGGACAAGAGTTATTCATTTTAAACACAGGGATTCTTTTTTAAATATTGTTTCATTTAAAAACAATTTTTTCAGTGTCAAATCTGAAACTCAAAAGAACTGAGTGTTCGCCAAAAACTCTGGTTTTCTAGTCCCTTTATCTTTGCAACCCGATGTCGTAGATCTTTAATATTTCAAACTATGAATTAGATCAAATGGTCTAAGTTTGAAATATCATCAGGCACAGAGCTAGGAATAAGAAAATTTCAGTCTGTGGCAAAAACTCAGTTCCTTAAAGTCATTGAGACGAACTTTTTTAATTGAAAAGTGGCTGAATTTAATGAAATATCTTTCCTTTGAACATGAAGAGATGAATGTCCTTGGTCTGATTCTAGAACTGCTGGAAAGCTAACCTCCTTCTCCTGGAATATATATTTACTAGGCTTTTTATAAGGTTCCTTTCCGTGCCATCTTCTCTTTTTAAAACCAATAATTCGTAAATTTTCCTGTTTTCATCTGTGGATTTACAAACATTTAAAATAAAAATTTAAAGAGGCAATTTTTAAAAATTTCACCCGGTCAATACCATGTCCTGAGATCGTTAAGTTCTACAAAAAAAATTGGGCCTGATCGGCTCAGTCGTTTTCAGTTCATTGTATACAAACATCAACAGACAACCAAACTAACAAGTCTATATAACTATTATTTAAATATATATTTTTATCTAGAGAAACCTGAAAAAAAAATAAGTTTTCATATTCTACTAATGACCCCTTCTCTTAGTGTCGGATCGGCTTACTTAATCTTCCCCTTTTAAAAAAACCTTACGCCTTGCGTCGAATAAGTTTAGCTCATTTTATTGGCTTAAAGGGTGTTTCAAGAAACATAAATATTTAAAAGACAACTTAAAATTCGTCTTGATTTACGATAAGTCACAAATAAGCTTTACTGTATCAAAAACGGTTGTAACAAGAGTATCATAGATTTTAGATATTAAATATTTTTACTTTAATGGAGCTGTTCAAATCTGGACAAACTTTATATTTCCGTCAATTTGAATGTTCAATAATGACACAAGACAATTAGAAAATCCCAAGTTGTCTATATTAACTTTTTTAACTGAATTACTACATTACTACAAAACCTTTTCAGAGCTGAAAACTTTACAATAGAATATCCTTATTCTCGATCGGTTAATTAATCTGGAGATTAATGACATGAGGAGTACAAGCATTATTTTATCTCGAGATTAAGAAAAAGAGTAGATCAAGAAATAATCCCGATATCCATCATTCAAAAGTTCCCAGCTCAAGAGTATAAAAATCACTGTTAACTAAGGATTTCGTATAGACAGTCACTCAATCTCTATTGGGGCACCCTGTACTAAGCTTGGTACCTGGAGCCCCAGCAGTTGGAGTAAAGCTTTAACGTCTGTCTTTATAGTTTCCAGATGTAGGATAAACTTAATTATCAAACAAATATCAGAACCATTGCTATGTTAACAAAATATTTATTAAGAGGTCAGGGATAACCAAAATTAAGGAATTCACCATTTTTTACAGTTGTTAAAGTGGATATCGTGATCAAGGATTTAAGTTAAGCGCAGAAGGTTTGATCTCAGGTTTTTTCTTTTTTTCTGGATTTGTTTGTTTTCCTTAGGTCTAAATTCTCTTCTACATAGTCCGCACGTATACCAGTATGGAGCCCAGTGATTTCTATATGATAATTATGTCTTTTTTAATAAAATTGTTAGAACAACATGAAAAATAACATTGCATTAAACAGTTTCCTACACAAAAATATATAAAGTTAAGAAAACTTGGGGAGCTTTACTAGTTTATTTTTTTCATTCATGTCCATTTCCTGGACAATTTTATAATTTTTGTCCTAAATAATTTGACTTTCTATGTAAGGATGCGGCATCGGAAAATCTACGGAAAATCTACGCACTTTGTTTGGTCTAATGCAGATTTCAAACAAATGTCTTCTCTAATTAATAAAGGCTTTTTTTCCTTGCCTGGAAGTTTCATTCCATTTAATGATTCATACTTTTTAACCCAAATCCCAACAATCAATTGACGAATTAATGAATTATATATGCATACATTTATGCAAAATTAGTTCTTTGCTTATGTTGAAACAAAAGACGACATTAGCTCACATTTTTAACGTTTTATATTGGATTTATTTAGTGTCATGTCCCCTTTCACTGCCTAAAATGTCACTCCGTAGCACTTGAAGAAACATATTTGACTACATCTGAAAATCTTCCTTACGATTGTTGGCTATTTTTCATATAAAAAAGGATGCGTAACTTATTCATAAATTCAGGTTTATCTCAACTAAAGATCCTTTATCCAACAAATATTTAAATAACTTGTGAGTCTTTGGTTTAAATAGTTATTTTGTCACTTATATTTAAAAAGTTTTTATGAAAAATATTTACTAATGACCTGATCCAATTCCCAGAACTAGGACCATTGTCGGGCATCTGAAATAAATTTAAAATAATAATTTTGAACAAAAAATTAAAATTTTAAAAATCTGGTTTCTACCTTCATTTTGTTATTAAGAACTATTTTCTCCACAAACTCGGGCCAACTTAATAAAACAAATTAATTCTGGAATAGACTTATAAATATCAAATAAAAAAGCTGGACTATTTCAAAAGAAAGAACAAGACCTTTTACCACATTTTTTGCGTTCTGTAGGTAATATGGTATATCGGCCATATAATATTCAAGAATAATGAAATTTTAAGAGTTAGTATTTTAAATTTAAAAAATCATTTATTTTTCCAAATTCATCTAATTAAACCCTCGAAAAAAACTTAACACCTGGTTGGATAAAAGGATTTTTAAAGAAAGTAAATAGTCCTAGGTAACCCCCCCCCTCCCCCACCCTTCCATCTTTCATAATCTTTATATTTTGCCTATTTCTATCGCAAAACTTGTACTTCTGGAGAAAGGCATTAACCCTATCCCTGCTGGGGTACTTGAAAACCAGGATATGCTGGGGGGTTGACCCCCCCCCCCCTATAAATCCCATGTTTTATGTCCAAATATGACAAATGATACATCATTGGAAAGCTCTTTTACTCTACTTTTAGAATCTGCAAAAAAATTTGCAAATTTGCAAAAATTACCCCCCCGCAGGAATACGGTTAAAGAAATATATGTTTTATTTGTTCACCCCTGTCAAACAAAATTTAATTAGAAAAATGGTCCCTTATAGGATCCAACCTAGATTGTACCACCTGATCTTTCTAAACTGTTTCCCTGTGATTTCTTGAATGCTGAGTCTGAACTCTGAATTCTTACTGTATGTATCATCTCGTTCAAACACGTATCTAAATAGAACAACAGATTAGTTTACGTTTTTCAAATTGTTGTCTGTTTAGGAAAAGGTTTTGTGAGGATTAATTTTGCTATCAAGGCATACTTTATTTTGATAAAATTAATAAGTCAGAATTATAAATATTTGCAGAAGTCACCTTTTTTCTTTTCTTATATTGTTAAAGGGACAGTAAGCGCAATGTCAAGTGACCCTTTAAGAAAAGATGACAAGGTGCGATTCACAATGGTACCCTTAAAAGCTTCGTCTGATCAATTATGAATGAGATATCCATGTTTATAAATTCAAAAACTGATTATTGAAATTGTGTGTTCTCTACTGAATTGACTAACGCATTTTTACTGCAGGAAAACATGTAGGAATTAAGCACTTTCAAGCCTAGAAAAACTACAATATCTTTCTCATTATTATTCAGATAAAGATTTCAATTGCACCGTTGTGAATTGGACATTGCCATCTTTGCATGGAGGGTCAGTTAAAATGAAAGTTACAGTCCCTTTAAGGGCATCTTTATGTCTGGGGAATTGGTTAAATATATTTATAAATTATATCCAACCTGTAAGCAGATACTAATCTCTCTAATGGATGCCGAACTTGAATTATTTTCAAACTCCCATCGGCACACTACGTTTTTAATAGTTTTTGATAATAAAATTTTAAGTTTTTAATAATTAGATACGTTTTTAATAGTTTTTAATGATTAGATACGTTTTTAATAGTTTTTTATAATTTGATACGTTTTTATGATTAATAAGATTCTAGTTTATGAGTGTGTGTCCCGAAGAAATAAGATGATCCATGTCCTTGATCCAGGCGACTTTTTTTGTGAGCACAATTAATAGAATTTTTTCTGTGGTTTGTCATTTTACACCCTCGGAATTGACAGAGATCTTAAGAATTTAGAATTAACAAGAAAATTTAGATATTTAATATTTCCGCCAATTAAATGATACAAAGATGTATCTTGTATTATTACGACACTTTATCTAAGTTACTTTGACATTTATTAACGATTCAAATTCAGAAGCTTAATGTCGTCTTTAAATTTCCATATTCGGATAATCTGAAATTTAATTCAAATGTTAATTAAAATCGAAAAAAAAGTATTATTAATACCTCAGGCCAGCATTCGGGAGTGATTGTTTCGAACTCTATCTGTTTCTCATCAATTGTATAAATCGGTTTTTTATTTAGTTCTAAACAAAACAAAAATATAAAATTCTGTTTTACAAAGAATAAGACTTCAGAGACGACGTAACGAAATTTACATCGTCTTTTTCCTTAAATTCATCAATCCTTTGCAAAATTATTAAATAAATCATTTAAATACAACATTTAAGGGAGTCTTCATTTACCCTTAAAATAGTCATATTTTAAGAGTTTCAAGTCGTCTTCACGTTATCATCCTTTGTGGGTAGCCCTGTACTTTCTACCTTTTAGCAAGGTAGATTTAGATTAACCTATATAGCGGCTCATACCGACTAAGTAATTGATAATAAAATTTGTTTATACTTACTATATATATATTAAGTTAAATTACTTGATATATTTCTTAATTAAAATGATAGACGTAGCTTAAACATTCTTCGTGTGGGGCCCGGGGAAGGTCGGAATTAGGTAAAAAAAAAAAACACGGATATTTGAGAGTTTTTATGGCAAGATATGTGCAATGAGGCAAAAAACATTCCCCCTTCATAATTGAGCCCAATAACTCTTAAATTCTATTCTTCAGATAAATTTTCACTTCCATCTTGGAAATATTATTTATTTATTCATATATTCATTTCGTAGATACACAGTACTATGATTTAATATAGAATATTTAAAATTTAAGACTACAAAACATTTATATTACCATTTTGTATTGTAGACATGAACTTATTCCATGAGTTCGAACCTCCTTTAAGTAATGTACAGTGCAGATAAGATGCATTGTACATAACAAATTGGCTGTACATACTCTGTACAGGTATACGGGAATACAAACTCTGGTAATGAAATATGTAAAATCTTACTCTTGGGTGTTTGGGTGTTTTAATGTATTTATTGAATTTATAATTTATATAAATTTGAGGAGATGTTTCTGAAAATGACAGAAAAGGAATATTTTAAAGCTTGAGTTGATTTTACATTTTCCCTGAAATTCTGGTCTATGTTCATCAGAATACTTGTCACAGATCTCATTCACCAATTCTGCTCTTTTATCAAATTCGACTGAGGTTTTATTTTTGCTGGATTTGACCGGGGTTTCTTGAATGAACTGTATTGAATTATTTCGAAGTGTCTTCTGTTTTGATGCTTTTGATGGATGTGGTTCAATTGTTTGTCTAATAATTACTATTTGCAAAATTAGACCTATTATTCCTAAAGTTAGAAAAAGAAATTTGTAACGCTTCATTGCTTCTATAAATTGTTAGAAATCACTGTTCCTTTTCAATCTATTCTACTCCAAATATAGTCGAGATTGAATTAATTCATCCCATATATAGCACAATGTTACAATGTTTAAATTAAGGATGTAAAAGATAGAATTCTGTACGTATTTTTCACTTGTCTTGTGTTTTCAACAATTCGTTGCTGATTGAGACTCACTGTAAGGCAAATGTGAATCATTGAGAGATTTTCTAATTTCCTGTGTTATTCGTTTACAGTAGAATATATACTAACTAGTTCCGTTCCACTCGTCTCACATATACTGAATAATATTAGAAGAACAGGTAGTAAGATCACAATTCAACGTAACATTAACCTTAAACCTACAGGAAAACATGCAAAATAAAAACTTTACGGAGAGAACAGGAAAACATACAAAATAAAACCACACGGAGAGAACAGGAAAACATACAAAATAAAACTACACGGAGAGAACAGGAAAACATACGGAGAGAACAGGAAAACATGCAGAATGAAAACTACACGGAGAGAACAGGAAAACATACAAAATAAAACTACACGGAGAGAACAGGAAAACATACAAAATAAAACTACACGGAGAGAACAGGAAAACATGCAGAATAAAAACTACACGGAGAGAAAAGGAAAACCGCGTTCTCTTCCACATTTTGGAACAGATGAAGGTTATAAGGATACCATTGTGAATCGGACATGCCCCTAGGTTGCAAATTACTAAATTCTCAGTTATATTTTATGATTTAAGATAGAAGAAAACTACAAGAATTCCACTTTTTCATGGTTCTCACTATATATTCCTTTCATATGTGCATCTGATTTTTAGGTTAAAACCGTAATGTTTTAATATGAAATTATTGATATTTCTCCTTTTTTGGTTAAAAAATAAATTCTGACTCTGTTTGAACTTTTTACATACCTGTATTTTTAAGTTTGTTTTATGTGAACTTACACAGAATATTAATCGTTAATCCATCTCCTTTTTTTGGTTTTACAAATAAGGCAAGCTTATGTTGAAAATCTGATAGTAAATACATTTCGAGTTAAGAATATGGGATTAGGTCATCCTTAAAAGTCTGGTATTTGATATGATAGCGTCCCAATGGTGGATGTTTAAAAATTAATTTAATTTTCAGCTTGATTCCCATTTTTCTGTTTTTCCTTTGAATGGTCATGATGAATTTTCTCTAAACCTTTGGTCTTGATAAAAAATATGTGTTTCAAGCATGGGGGGGATCCGTGTGTATTAGCAAGCGTACACTTAGGATAGTTTACTGATAAAGGATATGAGATTATGGCCTTTTCATACAGTACAAACATCAAATATGCAGTACGCTTTCGGAGTACAAGTGTATGAGGAGGTTTTTTATCTTAAATTTTACTCAGTTTTCTCAGAACCATTTAAAAACGATGAAATATTGCTCTGTAAAAGACTGTAAAAGTACCTCTTCATGTGAAAATGTAATCCTGCACACGATAAAGGAGTAGTGGATTTTAATGGAAAATAAATTCTCCATTTAAGTATTTACAGAAATCACCCCCGAGTACTGTAATATACAGTACATGGCCTGTACAATTAGTAAAGGATTAGCCTACATCATCACTCTATAGTCTATATACTAAAACCTCGTTGGTTTCCCGTAGTTGTTCATGTATTTTAAGTTTCTTCTGTTATAGTCAATCAACCATAGAACGAACCACTACATAATAATTACGCTGGAGGGGGGGAGGTTGTGGATATTATGAACATTGTCATTATTATTATCTTAGTTTTTTTTTACTTTTGAAAACATATATACTCTACATAGACAGATAGACAGATAGACAGATAGACAGATCACTAGATCAAATAGTCGAGTTTAAAATATCCAGGGTTTACACCAACAGGTTGCAAAGATGTAGGGATTAGAAAATAAGAGTTTGACAGTTAATTCCTTATCTAGAGGAAATTTAATATGACAAAATACTTTTTTTTAAAGTTTTAAAAATTTGTTTTTTTTCCTTTTTAAGTGAACTAATCTACAGACGATAATTTTGTATCTACCCCATTTAATCCTGTGTGTATCTAGGTTGTACCAGATCAAGCTTGGAACCCTGGAGAATGAAAAATCCTCGGATTCTGAATGGTCTCTCCGTCCCTACATGAACACTGCTAGAAAGAGGAGATTTCTATCGGACGAGGACGGATGGGAAATCCAAACCTAAATTTTTTTATTTTCATATTTTTTTTAATAAACGATTGAAGCAACATTATGAATTTAACTTTTTTAGTTTTAGTACTAATTATTTTAGATCTTAATTTATATGATATAATAATTAATTTGACTTATTTACGTTAATTTAAATTTGTTAAAATTGTAATTTTTAAATCAAAAAATAATTATTTCTTGATTGCATTTCCGATTCATAACCTCACCCTCAATACCTTTATCTGAGGAACAAGGAGTAAAATATCGTTTATTTTAATCTGGAATATTGTTAAATTCTGAACATTTTCGTCTTTTTCTATGCTGCATCTGTATAAATTGTAATCTCTGCTCGTTTGTCCGATCATAACTCAGTAACCGATTTGCCTCAAATTTTGATTGGGGAACTTGGGAGGCCCACGGCATTGTTCTTAGCTTGGTTTTAAGACTCTCTAGTTGAGTGGGTCGACTTTAACGGCCAAAATTTAGTTCAAGTGCGGGTAAACGGCGGAAGTAACTTTTAGTAACTTCAAGCTAGAAATGAATACATCCGCAGGGAAACCAGAAGTGAAAATTAGAAATATTCAGACAGAAAAACAAGTATAATCTCATAATAACGTTGTGAATAGGGTATGTCACTCTGTAAATGTCGGGTCACTCCAAACTACGCAGACCGCCAAGGGACAAAAAACGTTCAGAGTAGTAATCGCAGATTGTCTAGATGCTAAATAGTCATGTCTGTTGAAGAGAGAGAAAAATTATCATATATATATACAGGGTTAACCACAAAGAACGAGACTAATAAAGACGACTTAAACCTTATAAGATATGACGACCCTATGGTTAAACTAAGTTTTCTGCCTTGAATATAGTCTTTTAATGGCTTATTCCATGATTTGGCAAAGAAAGATACAAGTTTACTGTTGCAAGGAATAGACTGTATAAATTCAGTACAATCGTCTCTGAATTCACATCCTTTGTGGGTAACCCTGTATATATCTTTGTTTATGGCATGGGTCGTAGCGGTGCGGAGGGGGGGATAGACAAAACTCCTAAGAATTTTTCAAATGCCGCGTTTTCTTAAAATTCTTGAAACTGTTAGCTGCTGGGGTCTTAAATGTAAGGCATGTGGCCGCAGCGCTCGCCCCCTAGTCTGTCCTAGCCGCAGCGCTCGGCCCAGAAAGTGTCTTAACCTAACTTAACCCTAAATAAATAGAAAATCTTAGGAGTTTTGTCTATCCCCCCCTCCACACCGCTTCGTCCCATGCCTTTATTTATTCTTTAACGACTGAATGTTTGTGTTATATAAAATAAAAACAGCGCTGCTAAGATTCGATGAGCATCTGAGAAAACAGGGTGTCCCAATAAACATGGGAATTTTGAGACGACTTGAATATCGTTTTTTTAATAATCGATAATTGATAAATGATAAGTGCCTCAAAAAAGATTGAAAGTCTGTTGAGCTTTCCAAAATGTGGTCTACCTTCTTTGTACCTTTAAACATGACCAAGTTATAAAACATTTGAACCGTTATGTTTATTTTTAATAAACTTGAATCTGGACAAAATTTTCAAATATCTCCGTCAATCTTGAAGGTAAACAAGGGTAGACCACATTTTGTAAATCCCGAGACTAGTAGTTTTCGGGGTTATATGTTTTAACTGGGATATTACAAATATATATTAACGAAATAATCCCACATGGATCAAAGACAATGTAGAAGTCGTCATTTAATTCCCATGTTTATTGGTTCACCTTGTATAATCTGCATTACATTACCCCTGCTGGTAAAATATGGTGTTATACAGCCCGGATAAATACTTGCCAAATCTTGTTTATAAATCTGCAATAAACTTCATTTCCATCTGCAAACCTTGTAATTTAATCAACGTAACCCAGACACTCCACCCCTAAAGGAGCTGTATGTACTGTAGACGGAATATCAAATTGCATTATATTTAAAAAAGGGGACATGTCCGATTTACAACGGTACTCTAATGATGTCTAAGTTGTTTTTAAATTTTGGAAGTGGAAACAATTATTATTAATCAAATGTGACGTTGTTTTGCCAAATGTTGGATTTCTCATAGTTCAGGAATTTGCACTTTTTCTTTTTGAGACTCTTTAAATGATATGTGGTGTCTATTATGAAATCGACACAAAACATTTTAGATTTATATCCAGGCTGAGTGATTATATTATCTATAATCAGGAGTGTGTCTAATGGGTAGTCATGTGCTTTCAGTTATTTCGTTTTGGGTCGTGTTTCCCTTTATATTCTTTTAGGCTCAAATTCTGTCTATTTATTCTTTTAGGCTCAAATTGTGTCTATATAATCTCTCAGGCTCAAATTGTGTCTATATATTCTTTTAGGCTCAAATTTGGTCTATATATTCTTTTAGGCTGAAATTCTGTCTATTTATTCTTTTAGGCTCAAATTTTGTCTATATATTCTTTTAGGCTCAAATTGTGTCTATATATTTTTTTGGCTCAAATTGTGTCTATATATTCTTTTAGGCTCAAATTTTGTCTATATATTCTTTTATAGGCTCAAATTGTGTCTTTATATTCTTTTAGGCTCAAATTGTGTCTATATATTCTTTTAGGCTCAAATTGTGTCTATATATTTTTTTGGCTCAAATTGTGTCTATATATTCTTTTAGGCTCAAATTTTGTGTATATATTCTTTCAAGCTCAAATTTTGGCATAGTGTCATTTCTCAAGGTCTAAGTTTATATTAAGAAACCCTAAAATCAAGTTCTCGGGGTCATAGGTTTATATTGAGAAACCCTAAACTCAAGTTCTCAGGGTCTAGGTTTTTATTTAAAAACGATAAACTCAAGTACTCAGGGTCTAGGTTTTTATTTAAAAACGATAAACTTAAGTTCTCAGGGTCAAGGTTTTTATTGAGAAACTATAAACTCAGGTTCTCAGGGTCTAGGTTTAAATTGAGAAACGCTCGTTTCGGATCATTGGTCCATTTTCTGTTAGAAGAAAGATATTGCAAAGTTGTATAAAAACAAACTTTAACAAAATACAGTTTTATATCCTTCAAGGTTTTATTATTATACTTATTAAAAACCCGATTAACAGCACTAATACAGATGGGGAGAGGGAGGGGGGGATGGAGGGAGGGAGTCAAATTTAAAGATTTAATTCTTAGTTCAAAAACAAATTTAAGTAGAAATTATCCGAAGGGATTTTTATTGGTTTTATAATTTAAGTATTCCTTACTATATATGTAGTTTAAATATTGACGTTAAAAATAATCAAACTTGAGGTAAAACATGTGTATTAAACCAAACCACAAATTCAACATGAATCTATAAAGCTCTTTGCCTCAAACCACTTGAAACATTGATATTTTAAAATCAAACAATCATAATTATATAATTGAACATGTATTATTTTAAGACTTAAATAGTACAGGGTGTCCTGATAAACACGGGAATTAAATGACGACTTCTTTATCGTCTTGTTTTAAGCAGGATTATTTGGTAAATATGATTTAAAGTATAACAGTTAAAACTACCAGTCTCGGGATTTCCAAAATGTGGCCTACCATTTTTTCACCTTCAAAATTGACGAAAATTTGTCCAGATTACAGCTAATTAAAAATCAAGAAACCTGTTCAAATGTTTAATATCTCCGTCAATTTTAACGATACAAAGAAGGTAGACTACATTTTGGAAAGCTTATTAGACGTTCAATCTTACTTTCATACACTTAATGTAATTTATCAATTATCGGTAATCAAATAATATATATTTAAGTCGTCTCTCAATTCCCATGTTTATTGGGACACCCTGTAGGATATAGAATACAAAAATAATAATAAAGAATATAATCCCAAGTTTAATGGGACGGGATAAAGAATAATAAAGAATACAGAAAGAATAGAATTCCCAAGTTTATTGGGACACCCTGTAGGATAAAGAATACAAAAAGAAGAATAAAGAATGCAGAAAAAATAGAATTCCCATTTTTATTGGAACACCTTGTACCAGAAGAAGAATAAAGAATAGAAGAAGAATAGAGAATACAGGAAGAATAGAATAATAGAGAATACGAGAAGAATAGAGAATACAGGAAGAATAGAATGATAGAGAATACGAGAAGAATAGAGAATACAGTCCAGGAATAGAGAAAACATGAAGAATAGAGAATACAATAAGAATAGAGAATACAAGAAGAATAGAGAATAAATGAAGAATAGAGAATACAAAAGAATAGAGAATACAAGAAGAATAGAGAATACATGAAGAATAGAGAATACAAGAAGAATAGATAATACATGAAGAATAGAGAATACAAGAAGAATAGATAATACAAGAAGAATAGAGAATACAAGAAGAATAGAGAATACATGAAGAATAGAGAATACAAGAAGAATAGATAATACAAGAAGAATAGAGAATACAAGAAGAATAGAGAATACAAGAAGAATTAGATTTGGTAATGCATCCTTGGATCATTATGATAATACTTTTCAGTTCATAGTTCTTTTAAGAGCATTTGATTCAAAACCATTCAATGGTTCTTTTCTGAGCTCAGAATCTTTTGAATCAATAGTTCAGTAAGTCATTCGTTCGACAGGTCTACAAGTGTAAAATATATTTAATAAACTGGGTCTGCTTAACCTTTACCAATAGATGTTAACAGAAAACTGTGAGAAGAAATGATATAAATGAAGGAAGTAACGAAACCCTTCCATCACGCCCCAAATCAAATATGTTGATTGTTGAAGGTTTTGGATTCAGTTTGACTTAAATCTAATTATCGAAGGGCGGGGTTCTTTTCCACTCATTTCACTTAGTAATTGTTATACATGGATATGGAGTTGGCCCTGAGGCCGTTTTATCAAATTAAACCCAACACTTCAAGTCCTACTTTTTTCAAATTTTTACTTTGGCTATTTGCGGTAGTAGTTAAAGTTTTGTTTATAAAGTGTATATTGTTGTGTGAAAAATATGAAAATTTTTCTGAACAACTGAAAAATATCAATTACATTTTGCTGGGTTACTAACCTTACTGATTATAGAGTAAATTTAAAGAAAGATAGGAGCAGTGCAAACTAGATTATTTACTCCGGGTCCTACTCTAACCTCAGTTCGAACCGTAGACTGGAATGCGGGTTCTGCTATTTTTCTCACGAGAAATCAAGAAGAACGTATTTAGAGCTGAGGGCGGGGTTTAGAGCTCCCTACGCGCAGGAGACTTTAACTCTGCAAAGAAGGGTGACGCGTGTGGTATATAAACCAAGAATAGCTGGTACAACGGCACTTCAGCTCGAAACTCTCTCGTGGGAAGTGCAGAGTAATTTTATCATGAATACTAAGGTATGTATTTTATATACAACACGTAATTTTTTAATGTCTTAAAGTTTTCAGAGCTATTAAAATTTTAAAATGATTGTTTCAGCTTTTTCACCTTGCTTTTATTTCAGTTTTTTGCCGTTCTCTTCTTCGCAGTTGCAGCTCAAGCTGCTCCCGCAGCTGATGCTGAGGCTGATCCTCAGTATCTTGCCGCTCTAGCTGCTCCCTACCATGCTACCAACTGTGTAACTGAAAACGAGGTCCTGATTACCCAAGCTTGTACTCCTTCTGCCGAGAATGTTTGCACCACCGAGGTTGTTGATACCGAGGAGATCGAGTACGAGAAGGTGTGCAAGGATGTTGTTGACACTCTCTGTGATGGGCCCGCCGCTGTTGCCGCTGTTGCCCCTGTTGTTGCCCACGCTGTTGTGAAGAGGGAAGCTGATGCTGAAGCTGATCCTCAGTTCTACGGACTTGGTGGATATGCTGCTCATGCTGTTGCCCCTGTTGCCCACGCTGTTGCCCACTCCGCTGTCGCCACCGTGAAGCACGCCTGCAGGGAGGTCACCACCCAGCACTGTGTTGACAACCCCAAGATCAAGATTGTCCCCGTTGAGGTCCAGCACTGCCACACCGTCACCAAGGTCAAGTGCGCCGATGTTGAGAACACCATCCCCAAGACCACCTGCGAGCCCGTTGAGACCACCCATGTCTCCTCCTACGCCCTTCCCTACGCCGGATACGGTTATGCCGGATACGGATACGGAAAGTAAATAATCCCCTTCCTTCATCTTCAAGTTCAAGAATTCACTCAGAAATAGATAAATTCAGAATAATCCCAAAGACTTATATTGTGTTTGTATCAACAAATGGTTTCCCAGTATCGACCTGAGATCTTGGAGGGAATAAACCACAATAATCTCCAGTCCCTTCATATAAAATTAATCTTAAAATATGATGTATGAGGTGCCGATTTGATTGCAATAAAAATATAAATGTATTTCTCTCTTCTTTAATATTATAGGTCGGATTTAATGAAAAAGAAGAACAACTAGGTATAGTAAGTTCAGCCACCTCTCGAATGCAATCTTAGGAATACTAGAGAAGTGGCTCAACTATATGCGTATCAAGTTCATCTATCTTTTGTTTTGTTATTCATTAAATCCGGCCTCTGTTTGAATTCAGTTCAAGATGTTTTTCATTTAGAATATACTTTTTTATATAATTCTAAAATAAATTTGCATGCAAGTCTTTCAACTTACAAATATGATTCGTTTTGTGCAGAGTAAATTTCTTGATATGTAAAAAATTGCTTTTCGTATTTTTTAAATATATTGCACCCTGGACTAACAAGGACTAGATATGTTTAGTTTATTCAATTTTAAATCTATCTCAAAATTTACAAAGTTTTTCTTTTTTCATTTAAAACCCATCTGACGACCAAAAAAGTATATTTGAGAAATATTTGTGTTAAATTGTCCAATCTATGATCAAGTTCTTGAAATTCACTGTTTGACGGGACAAGGACCGAACTCTCAAATCTGCGTGAAGCAGCCTAGCATAATCATAAATATAAATCTTGTCAATACATTTTTAATTTTAAACAAGAGTGTATAATGTCGTCTGGGCTGTCCAAAATGTGGTCTATCTTCTTTGTATCTGTGAAATTGACGGAAATATTAAACACTTAAATAGTTTAGTTCTTCTTTGGTTGTTTTATTAAGACACTTTTTATTCTGTATAAGCATGTACATTGTACAATGTACATTTATGTACGTGCGATGTACACCTGACTGGACTAGAATTTCAAAACCGCCCTTACTCATGACGGAAAATACGTATCATTGTAAATAATTTGATTTTGCATTACATTAGTTATAACAAATTAAATGCATTTAAAGGCACGCACTTCCTATGTCAAAAGCTTATTAGAATAGGCAGTAATCAAATATTTAATAATAACATTTAATTAATATCAGAACAGAGGCCTACACTTTAGTAGGGGATAGACTTAGACTTGATATCCATTGCGTAAATTTTTTAATTAAAGAAATGTGTAGATATTCTGGCCATCCACCCCCCAAAAAATAATCCAAAGAATTATTTTGTCCATAGAAACCGTCTGAATAATTAAGCAACAGATTTATATTAAATATAAAAAAGTTTCTGTGGGGGCGGACCGAACTAGATATCCATTGTATTAACTTTTAAGTTTAAGGATTTAAGTTAACTCCTTGCATACTAAAGAAATTATTAAGAAACTACTTAAAAAGAAGTATTTAGCCTCTGAGGTTAAATTGTTAGAGGTATAGAAGCCAAAGATTTAAATAAAATTAAATTAAAAGTTTAGCTAAAACTTCTCTGAAAGTTTGTGGATAAATCAAAAATTCCACTTACTAATGAATTTATTTGTATGTCATGTGTTTAAAAAAAAAATGGAGTTAAAATCTGAACAAAGTTTAACCTACATCATTTAAAGGTTGAATTTGAGGTTCCGCCTTACAAAAATAGTCTTTAAACCATGAATGGCACAGTGAATAGACTGAACCAATTCTGTACAGTCGTCTCTGAAGTCTCATCCTTCGTGGGTAATCCTTATGTGTGCTAGAGTTGTTGACTTGCAGAAAACACAGATAGTACGAGAGAGACAGGTTTTTTAAAACATTTGTTTGAAATAGTTTCTGTCTCTCTCCTGTTAGTAGTTTCATACTGAAGGAGTAGATTTATTTTGAGTTTATTCGAGGAGGGGGGGGGGCATGAACTCCCTTTTTTCCAGTGTTAATAGATTTATGTGGCTACTGAATCAGACGGCTATAAAAGGTTTTTAAGACTGGATCGACTTCAAGTGTCACATTGCCTTGACATTGGATTTTACCCCCCACTTACTTGATTGTCCGTTTTTGTAACCATATACATCTTAGAACTTTTATAAAGCACTTGTTTTTTAGCTTTAGATATGATAGAAGTAATTAGCAAACGTCGCATCGTCTTTTGCGTTAGAGCTTGCATGTTTCGGATCACTGTACAGTGCATACTTCGCCAACTCTTAGTTCTGATTATTACAATGGTTTAATAGATTCATAATGATGAACATAATCAGTAATTAGAGGAAATAGACCTTGGTATATAATGTTTCCTCGTGATAAAACAAATCTCTAATCATAGAATCGTGTTCACTAAGTGAATAACTGCAGAGATTTATCAATTGACCGAACTCGTTATTTTTTAAGGGACTATACGCGTAATTTCAAGTGACCCTCCATTAAAAAATATGACAATGCCCGATTCACAACGTTACTTTCGAAACCTTTATCTGGTTCAATAAAGGGGAAACTATTGTCATTTTTCTAGGCTTAAAGTGTTCTTAAGTTCTATATGTTCTAGGTCACAATCGAAATTTTTTCTTCTAAATAATAAACAGTGATATCTAACTCATACTTGATCAGACATAGCTTTTAATTGCAGGGTCACATGAAATTTTGCTTACAGTACTTTCAAGCAATAATAACACTATACAGGGTTACAAATAAAAGATTAGACTGTAATGACGACCTAAAACTTATAAATATGACGATCCCAAGGTTAGATAAGGTACTCAGCCTTTGATGTAGTCTTTTAATAGCTTATTAAATGATTTATCAAAGAATGAAATAAGTTAACAGTTGCAGGGAATCATGAATATAAGGAAACAGAGAGTATAAATTACGTAAAGTCGTCTCTGATGTCTCATCCTTTGTGGGTAACCCTGTATGATATGAATTTCAACATACCCAAGGTTATAATTCAAGGAAAGTTATTTTAGAGGTGTACGCATCTTTTGTACTGCAGTGTACTGTCTGGGCGGTAATGTAAACACAAGACGGATGTCGAAGCCTGACATGGGATCTATCTTTCACATAAAAAATCAATGAAATATTCTGGTCATAGGAAACTATCATGTGAATTATCAAAATTATCAAAATTTAATGCTTTCAACCTTCTCGGATACTAAACGAACACTGATGCATCTATTCTTGTTTACAAATTCCGTCCAGAGAGAACTGGTTTCAATATGTGCGCAGAGTATACGCAACTGCAATTAACTTTCCTTACATTACAACCTTGATATATTTTGTCTGTCTGTACTCTACTCTGAACAATAATTAAGCAATTTCATCATTATTTTTAATATTTAACAAACCGATGTCGCAGATGTAAATAACGAATTTTCCCACAATTGTTTTTTTACGACTAATTATTGACATAAGGGTGAGGCACTTCGAACTTGCCTAAGGGTGTGTTAACCCCGGGCAGTTTTTTTCTCTCACAATTCAGGTTTCAGAAAATAATAAAATCAAATGTTTAAATACAAAAAATAATATCAAATGGGTATAAGCTCTTTATTTTAAATACAAAGTTTAAAGATATTTGTATATGTATACAGTGAGACTCATAATACTGAGGAATAGGAAGACGACTGTTGGATTCGATTTATGTTTTTAATTTTCCATTGAATATAATAAGTTAATTTTCAAAACTACTGGTTCTGACATCATCAAATTCACTTTAAAATGTTAAAAAGTCGTCTTCTTATTCCACAGATTTAAGGGTCTCACTGTAGCTCTAATTGTATCTAAAGTAATCTGAATATTCTCTTGCATAAGAAACTAGATTGGGTTGACAGACTGCAGGTTGACTACTAGCTGAGCAGGTCAGGCTAGGAACAAGCTGACAGTTCTCCACAGGTAAACTAACTAATCTTAACACTGGGCGCTCTATGCACTTCTCTACACTCACTTCTCGGCATACTCCTTGAGCCATTAGATCAACAAGTAGATATGGTCCATAGAACTCTAGCTGAGGACCTATGCTTAGTTTTCCTACATGTTCAGGAAGATACACAGCTTGCTCTGCTCGTTTGAGAAGAAAATCATGTGTTTGATCTTGATGTTCTTCAATTTCAGATGGATCACTGCAGACAATATCAACAACATTCTTGCACTCTCTCTCAACCACTAGTTCTTCACTCTCTACAATCTCCAGTCTACACCGTGGTTGCTGGATCTGATGGCAGATATGCTGCTGATTATTCTTCACTAAGCACTTGGACTTGAGGAGTGTGTGGTACAAGTTAGATGTCAGCTTGGGGGCAGATTTATGGGCAGAAACAACCAGGATTAAGCTCAGTGTCAGAGTCACTATCTGAAAAATTGATCAATATGATGAGTAAGATATTGAATCAATTCTTCATTTTATAGACCATAAAGATCCATTTTAAAATTGATTTATTTTTATTTGATTGCTTATTTATTGATTTATTAAATTAATTAATTCATTCATTGATTCATTGATTTATTGATTCATTTATCCATTGATTCATTGATGGATTGTTAATTTATTGATTGATGCAATGATTCAATTAATGACTATTTGATTAAATTATTGATTGATATTAATTATTGACCTGGTTGAAAAGCCCGAATGCCGCGATCATCTTCCCACGAGCAGAGCTCGTGCTGAAGTGACAAAATCCTTCCCTTGTTTAACATTTAAATATTTAACAACATCCTACAGATATAATTTAGTATATTTACAAATAAAGAATAGTTAAGAACACTAAACATTAAAAGTTAATGAATGTGCAAAAAGTACTCTTTAAAGTACATAGTAAAAAAAAGGAAAAAAAAGAAATTCAAAATTTTTTTATTTGATTTTTGATTTTTGTTTGTTTGTTTGTAATTAATCATCCCTGATCTTTTTCATTATATAAATAAGTTTTGACAAGATGAACTTACTAATGATTATATATTTCAAGGTTGTAATGTAAGGAAAGTTATATCAGAGGTGTACGCATCTTTTGCACTGCAGTGTACTGTCTATGAACGGTAATGTAAACACACGACGGATGTCGAAGCCTGACATGGGATCCATCTTTCACATAAAAAATCAATGAAATTTTCTGGTCATAGGAAACTATTATGTGAATTATCAAAATTATCAAAATTTAATGCTTTTAACCTCCTCGGATACTAAACGAATACTGATGCATCTATTCTTGTTTACAAATTCCGTCCAGAGAGAACTGGTTTCAATATGTACGCAGAGTATACGCAACTGCAATTAACTTTCCTTACATTACAACCTTGATATATTTTGTCTGTCTGTACTCTACTCTGTATTATTTAACAATATTGTATACAGGGGATAATTAAGTTATTAAATGTTGGTTAAACATTGCATTCCATGTGAACATTTCAGATATTTCTTTAAGTAATTGAGTTAATATCGACTTTGATTCTACTTTACAAATTTTGAAAATGTTATTTAAAACTTTTTTTCAAGTAGTTATTGTCATGGTAAATCCTTTCAAGGACCCCATTTGATATAATACGTTTATAAACATGATACCCTATTAACATCACGACTAAGGGTCGACCTTTAAAGTACTTAAATACCTATACTTCTGTCATTTCCAAAATGTGGTCTGCCTTTTTTGTAATTTAAAAATTATAGGTTTCGTTCAGATTTAATTTTTTTAATTATCTAAACGAACAATTTTTAAAGATACATATGGAAGAAGGAATTCACCTCATTATGAAAACCAAATTAGTCATTCAAATTTCAATGGTCAATAGAGTTTAGAGGCATAGAGCTTATTTTACGAAACGGTAAAAGGATCTCCGCTGTTTAGTTATTCTGCATATGTTTATATAATGTTCTGTAACATTTCTGTAGGATAATAGTTGAACTTGAACTGTACTTTGTTTGTATATAAGAATTTCTCTTTTTACTAATTGTTCAACAGCTCTAGTATGCAATCAAAAGACAAACAAACAAATTCTTAAAGGGATTGTACAGGAAAAATAAAAGTGGGTATAGACTCAAACCCAAGAATTTGGGAGTTGATCGAGACCTATAAGAGTTCTGTCTGATGTTCGGTGCAGTATCATAGTCACGTGTCTCCGTCTCTATGATACTGCATTGTCATTGGTGGGAGTTCTGGTCATCACGTGATATGGACGTATCAGTTATATTATCAATTATATTTATTAAAAATAAAGAAATATTAAATTCAAATGATAATTGGAGCAAACCTGAGTTTTTCTGGCTCCTCTGGGATATCGTCGTTATCAGATTGGTTGCGTATACTTGCTGAATATGATCTGTTTAAAACTTAGAATCTTATGCCAGCTTATGTATATTAGTTTCGTTATAATTTTTACTTAGTTTATATAATAATTTCTCGAGACAGGAACATCAGATAGAACTCTTTTCGGTTTCGATCACCTCCTAAAGTTCTTAGGTTTCAGTCTATACCCTCTTTCATTTTTCCTTTACAGTTCGTTTAACTCTTGCAGACAACACATTTACGGATTACAGCTTTCCATGTAGGCATCACAGCACTAAAAAAAATAATCGTATTCAAAGATAATATCAAGATCGTCACACGTTTCCCATGTTTATTGGGACACCCTGTACCATAAGGGATCGATTGATGAGCTACCTATTTTCGATTCATGAATCAAGGTATAGGCTCATCTGTAATCTGTCAAATATGTTGATAAATTAATCCTGGTTTTTACAATACTAAAGTTAAATATTTTGTTTTCAATGTTTAAAGATTGGATCTGATATATTTGAAGGATTTTTAGCTTCCACGATATCTGGCAGTCACGCCGCGCTGGTCCGATTGTTAGTGAGCCTTCAGCATGTATAGAAAGAGAAATAAAAAGTTGTTTATAACTTCGCGAATTATGAACGAATCATCTTCATCTTCAGAGTAACAATTGGGAAGAAAATTGTCGTTTTTCTTTCTTAATAAGTGTTAAACTCATTGTCTCTTCAACACAGATCCACAAGTCATTGTTACAGAGCACACCAATCAAAAAATAATATATTTTCAGCTTGAAAAATTGAAATATCTTATTCATCCTGAATCAGACAAAAGTTTAAGCGTACTGTTGTGAATCAGGGTCACCTTGAATTAAGGTCATAACAAAAAAAACAATGGAATATAAAGACGACATTATAGCAATACTTAGGCGTTTTGATGTTGTTACAAAGCAACTGCAAAGATTGCCACTAGTAACTTAGCAAAGCACTTTTTAAGTGTAATGGGTCTATTTACACTGTCTAAGATTCATTGAACTAGTTTAAGTCCTAAAGTGCGAATAAAAGTCGTCTTCTTATTTCAGAGTTTCCTGGTTATCACTGTACATGTACAGTCCCATTCACTAAACCGCATTTTCAAAGTCATAAAATGATCCAATACCCTTTAAGGCCTAAATGCTGTCTATACGTGCTTTTTGTAAACGATGAATTTAGTATTAAAACCAGATTTTGTCCCGAGGCAGGGTACAGACAATGCATCAAAACGAATTTAAGAAATTAAGCTGAGGTCAATCACCTTCTCTAGCAAACACTCAATATTGCGTCATGAATGGGTTTAGGTCGGAGAAAGGTTAGAGCTTTTGTGTTTTGTCAAGTTACATATTCTAAGACTGGACTGGAATTCTTCATTGGGCGCAGAAATAACTTCTACGGATTTTAAGAATGAGCTTTGACTTTTAGAACAATCAAAACAGAAGATCAGTTACGTTAATTCTGATTTTTCTTCTGAGCCACCCTGTAAAATGTAGCTTTAGTTAAAGATGGCCGTCTAAAACCTGTTTTTTGACTCGTCTAATAATTAATCCCCTACGCCTGGAAATACATCATAAAAAACGGGTTTCAAGATCCGTGTCATTGTCTCGTTAAAGATTAAGTTTGGGTTTTTAAACTGATGTTTTATAATGAAATGCAAATTCTATAAAGTTCAAATGATAAAGCCTTCACTTAAAATTAAACTTTTTGCAATGGATTCAGTTTTTTACATTCCCTTAAAAAACAAATTGTTTAACAATTGTTTAACAAATTGTTTTGAGTAGATAATATTTCTGGTTCAATCTAATAATATCTCCAGTAATGGGGTTTAAGCTTCATTAAAAATATGTACTTTGGTTTTATAAAGTCCGGGTAAATTAAACTAGAATGGGAGACTAGAAGAAGGGCGGATTCCAGTTTGGTTTTGCAAAACTTGAATCTGGATTCAGAATGAGTAGGACCATGAGTAAGAACAGTAGAAGGAGAAGGGGGAGAAGGCTCCGTATTATCTAGGAGTAGGAGAAGTAGGAGGAGAAGAATCAGACGGATCAGTAGAATCTAGGAGTAGGAGGAGAAGGGGGAGAAGGATTAGTAGAATCTAGGAGTAGGAGGAGAAGTGAGAGAAGGATCAGTATAGTATCTAGCAGAAGGAGGAAAAGGGGGAGAAGGATCAGAAGTATCTAGGAGTAGGAGGAGAAGGGAGAGAAGGATCAGTAGTATCTAGGAGTATGAGGAGAAGGGAGAGAAGGATCAGTAGTATCTAGGAGTAGAAGGAGAAGGGGGAGAAGGATCAGAAGTATCTAGGAGTAGGAGGAGAAGGGAGAGAAGGATCAGAAGTATCTAGGAGTATAAGGAGAAGGGAGAGAAGGATCAGAAGTATCTAGGAGTAGGAGGAGAACGGGGAGAAGGATCAGAAGTATCTAGGAGTAGAAGGAAAAGGGAGAGAAGGATCAGAAGTATCTAGGAGTAGGAGGAGAAGGGAGAGAAGGATCAGGAGAATCTAGGAGTAGGAGAAGTAGGAGGAGAAGAATCAGTAGAATCTAGCAGTTGGAGGAGAAGGGGGAGAAGGATTAGTAGAATCTAGAAGTATAGGAGGAAAAGAAGAAGAAGGACGTTTTTTTTTGAAAAAAGGAGATTGAAGAGAAGGAGGAGAGGCATAGGGAGATTTAGGAAAAGAATGACTTGGAGGAGTAGATGAAGAGAAATGAGTAGGATGAGTAGGAAGGGAGATGAGTAAGAGGAATAGAAGAAAAGAGATGAGAAGGATGAGTAGGAGAAGTAGAAAAAAGCTGGATGAGTAGTAGGAGAGAGAGAGGAGTTGTAGGAGTAGAAGAATAGAGATGAGAAAGATGAGTAGGAGTAGAAGGATGAGTAGGAAGAAAGATGCGTAGGAGGGAGTAGAAAAATAGAGATGAGCAGTATGAGTAGGATGAGAGAGAATAATTTTCATGAATAGGCGGAGTTGTTGTTAAAGGATGAGTAGGATAAATAGGGGGAGTAGGAGTAGAAGGATGATTAGGATAAATAGATGGAGTAGGGTGAGTTGGATGAGGATGAATAGAATGAGTAGAATGAGAAGGATAAGTAGGATGAGAAGGATGAGTAGGATGGGATGGATGAGTAGGATGAGTAGGACGAGAATGATGAGAAGGATGGGAAGGATGGGAAGGATGGAAAGGATGAGAAGGATCGGAAGGATGGCAAGGATGTGAAGGATGAGTAGGATTAGTAGGATTAGTAGGATTAGTAGGATGAGAAGGATGAGAAGGATGAGTAGGATGAGTAGGGTGAGTAGGGTGAGTAGGGTGAGTAGGATGAGTTAGATGAGTAGGATGAGTTAGATGAGTAGAATGAGTAAAATGTTTAGGATAAGTAGGATGAGTAGGATGGGTGGGATGA